TGAAGAAGGTGGCTGGGGATGCTTGTTTAGGTATACCCTCATGAATCTGCTAAAGCCTGTCTGGGAATAAGGTCCCAGAATTTTACACAGAGTGAGTCATTAGATATTTAAACGCCCTGTGCCCTGGACGCACCAAAGTGAGGAGAGGCTCTTCATTAAGAGTGTTTTCAAGCCAGGCGTTGGTGGCGCACGCCTTTAATCCCATACTAGGGAGGTAGAGGCAGGCGGATCTCTGTGAGTTTGAGGCCAGTCTGGTCTACAGGGTGAGTTCCGGGACAGCCAGAGCTACACAGAGAAACCTTATCTTGAAAAACCAAAAAGAAAAAAAAAAAGAGTATTCTCAAATATGGTTGGAACCCATTTAAAGAGGCACTAAAGTCCTCCAGTATTCTTTGCAGACGTTTTTCAGGGGCTAATGGTTTTTGGAAAATATTCAAGACTGTACCGAGATGTGCTGGGAAAGTTATGCGCTGTGAGGGAGTCATTAGAGCTGGGCTGAACCGACACCCACAGGGATTCCTGTGTGTGGGAAGCTGTCAAGGGCAGTTTTCCCTGAGCCTGAGAGACAGTGGTGAGGACCTCCTCCAGACTAGATTGATGGTGGTCCTGTGGTTCATCTGAAAACTAGGACAAAATCAGAGCTAACCATGCTGCACGTCAATACACTCCTGCCCATGAAGGGGGCGTGTTACCCACATGGTGTGACTGGGGTAGTAGCTGTGTGTACTAGTCCGGGTTAAATGTGCAGTCGAGATGCCTGTCGTGTATACAGTTGGAGGTTCCTGTCAGGCATACATTGGGGGTGCCTGTCAGGAGCTGTCCTGAGTGAGACTAGGACCCCAACCAAAGAGGCTCAAGAGAGATCTCTCTCCCGTCCCATCATGACATTGCAGTAAGAAGGTGCTCTCACTGTCTCCCACAGACAGTGGGACTAGATGAGCTGCCTTTCCTAGTGGCTCTCCTGCCGTGAAGGTCCCAGGGGCTCTGCTTCATATCCTGTGTTCTGGGTAGCTTAATGAGCAGTCACCTTCTCCAGTGCCGACAGTCACCATGGCAGGAGACAGGTGTGGCTGTAATGAGCCCTGCTCATATGTCTAAGGATCCCTGTCACTTGCCCCAGATTATCTGGACCCTCGATTTGACTTGCTTTTGAGTTGCCATAGAAGTATCCTCTGTGTGTACCTGTAAGGGGGTTTGCACAATGTTTAATTGCAGAGGGGATGCCCACCCTACTTCAGGAGCCACGCTGCCACAGGCTGGGACACCAGCTTCATCCGTCTGTGCTTCCTAACTGCAGACAGTGTGAGCATCCTCAGGACCCTGCCACCCTCCCTTCATCACCACCATGGGTCTGTAGCCCTCAACTGTGAGTCAGATGAAGTCTTTCTGTATTCACATGGCTTTTGTCAAGAGTGAGAAGAGCAACCATATGCCCTTCTCTCAAAATGCCAGTTAGCTAGGAGGGGTCTGGGAGCAGAGTGGCTGCAGGAAGCCCACTACTGTCTACCTATGTGTGTCCTTTGAGGGCCCCAGGACAACTGAATATTTGATTGTCATCTGGGGCCGATTATATGTGGTCAGGGATAGAAAGTACTTTTACCTGCTCAGACCTGTGGGATTCCCCCGCAGAGAGAGAGAGAGAGACAGACAGACAGACAGACAGACAGACACACATAGAGACAGACAGACACAAACACACACACAGACACACAGAGACAGACAGACACACAAACACACACGCAGATACACACAGTGAGACAGAAAGACAGACACACAGACACAGACACACAGAAACAGACAGATACACAAACACACACACACAGATACACAGAGACAGAAAGACAGATACACACATACACATATGGACACACCCACAGATGGACAAAGACATACACATATACACACACAGACGAGAGACAAACACACAAATTCACACACACAAACACACAGAAACAGACAGACAGACAAACACACAAAACACATACACACAGATACACACAGAGAGACAGAAAGACAGACACATAGACAGACAGACACACTCATATATATACAGACACACCCACAGGTAAAGACATACACATATACACACAGAGAAGAGAGACAGTCACACAAATTCACACACACACACAGAGACAAACACACACGTACACATAGAGGACACTAGGCTTTCATTTTTTGGAACAACATATTCGAAGACTTTTTTCTTTTGTCGTGTAGCCCAGGCTGTCCTTGGATTCATTTCGTAGCCCAGAATAACCTTGAACTTCTCTAATTCTCCATCTACCTCCAGAATGCTGAGATTATAGGCATGGGTGTTTGGGACCAAACCCAGGGCCTCATGAATGCTAAGCAAGGACTCTAGATTTTAGAGGCAGGTACCTGTGGGAATGGCTCTGACCCCTGCTGCGGACAATCAGAGGCACACACGAGGAAAGCTTGCTGAGAACCTTTGGCTCATGGCTGGGGGCCAGGGGATTTTGGCCGATGGTTTCTCCTTCCTGGCCTGGGCTGGCTGGCTACCCTGTGTGTCTGTCAGCCTGCAGTCCTGCCACGCAGGGACTGTCTGCAGACATGAGTGGGAGCTACAGGCCAGCACATTTCCATGTGAATGTAGCGTGGGTCTCAGCTGCTATTTTCAGATTCCAGTGATCTCAGCCACTACTGGATGAAAAGAAGACGCTTCCTATACCGAGACAATACACTTTTCCCTTTAAACTCATGGCAAAGTCTTCTTCATTCATGAACTGAATTCCTGCTAAACTGCTCTTAAAAGTAGTGGTGTGTATGTGTTTTCAGACAGTCTCTAAAGGTACACATCTCCAGGCTCAGCCTGGAAGGTGAAGGAATGTAGGACAGCTTTTCCCCATGGGCCATGGAAGATTTTCTTCCAGAGCTTTCGTACATTGAGCTGGGATTTGGAACCATCACCCCTTGAGGCTTCCCTCACTGAGTGCCTGGTGGCCACGGGCTGGGATTTCCACTGCCCCCTACCAGGAGACAAGATGGGTGAAGCATCGGAGGGACCCTTCTGTAGGCAGAGAATAGTGGGTTTTAAAAGAATTTTGTTTGTTTGTTTGCTTTTAAAATCTCAGCTGGGTGGTGACAGCACATGTCTTTAATCTCAGCACTCAGGAGGCCGAGGCAGGTGGATCTCTGAGTTAGAGGCTAGCCTGTTCTACAGAGAGAGATAGCCAGGGCTACACAAAGAAATGCTGTGTTGAAAAAAAGAAATCTCGTAACAGGGCAGTTACACATATGAACTCACAGCTATTGCGACAGTGTCCACAGTACCTATAAGCCCAAGCCAGACACCTCCTGATGAAAAGAGGAGGGGACACAGAGAGAAGCTGTGTGTGTGTGTGTGTGTGTGTGTCTGTCTGTCTGTCTGTCTGTCTGTCTGTCTCCAGGACAGCAGATTCCAGACTACAGTCGTGTGTGTGTGTGTGTGTGTGTGTGTGTGTGTGTGTGTGTCTGTCTGTCTGTCTGTCTCCAGGACAGCAGATTCCAGACTACAGTCGTGTGTGTGTGTGTGTGTGTGTGTGTGTCTGTCTGTCTGTCTCCAGGACAGCAGCTTCCAGACTACAGTCGTGTGTGTGTGTGTGTGTGTGTGTGTGTATCTGGACAGTAGTTTCCAGACCACAGCAACTGTGTGTGTGTGTGGGGGGGGTCTGTCTGTCTGCCTGTTTTGCCTTTTCCTTTTTTTTTTTAAATCTCTTAGAGCACTTTCCTAACACTTTGGGATTTCTGTTCCCCCAATATTTGGGGCTTCCTTGATCTTTCTCTGATGCTTCTCTTCCCACCATGTGGTTGCCTGCCCTCTATGTCAGGTTAAGGCATGGCCTTTCCCTTCTCTCCCCATCTAGGCAGGGGCCGAGCTCCTACAGCTTGCTTGCCTTGGGGCTTTCCTTTCAAACTCTAAGAGCAGTACTCCAGCGCTAGCATTTGAGTCCACTCTTAAAGTCTTTTGTTAATGAGGCGAAACCCCAAAGGGGACCCCCATATCCTCTGCATCACTAGGAGGACTGGTCACCTCTGTGTGCAAGAAATCGAGTCAATGTCTGTAGAGAATAGCATTAAAAACAAAATGATACCAAAAACCCAAACAACGACAACTAAAGATGGGAGCCCAGTGATGGCAGTAGGCTCCAGAGGAGCTCAGGGACAGGCCTTCCACCAGCTGTTGGTCTGCAGAACTTGGGGGTGCTCCACCCCACCCCATGAGTCATGGCCTGTTGCTGTGGACACCTCAGCGGAACTACCTCAAAGCATAGCACCCCACCTCTGAGAACATGCATCATGAGAACTTGGGCCATGCGGGTCCTGAGGACCGAGTGACTAAGTGCCTCCTCCAGTGTCCAGGTGTGTCACCCTCACGCTCACCAAGTGCCATTGCACTGTCAAGGACAAGTGTTGGGATATTCATTGCATTCCACAACTTACCAAATATCCAGAACTGGTGTTTACTGGGACCCTGGCAGCCTTCTGTGTGGAGCCGGGGTGCACTCTGATAGAGAGCCCATGTCTGTTGTAAAAGTCAGCAAAAATGTCTTCCCAATGATTAATATTTTCAACTTGACAGGCTCTAGAATCACCAAAGGCAGGAGCTTCCCGGCATGCCTCTGATGAATGTTGTAGATTGGGTTAACTGAAGTGTGAGACGCACCCCGATGTGGATGGCACCATTCCATGGCCTGGGGTCTCAGGCTGTATGTAAGGGAGGGGCCGGCTGGGCACCAGCTCCATCTCCCTCTGCTTCCCGACCGCCAACGCAATGTGCCCGCTGCCTCAGCTCCAGTCAGCATGCCTTCTCTGCTGCGCGAGCCCAAAGAAACCTTTCTTTCCTTCAAGTGTCCTTTGTCAGGTATCCCATCCCAGAAACACGTAAAGCAACCGACAGTCTCCAGTCCTAAGAAAACCGAAGCGATGCTGTCTGCCTGGAGGCTTTTGTTAGCAGAATGGAGACTTGGGTGGAAATAATCACATATGTTGTACTTGGGCTTTTTTTTTTTAAATAAAAACTCATTTATTTCAAAGAGCAGATATATACAACCAAGACAACAAATGGCCACAGAACAATCACAGCTTGTCTTAATAAATAACAAAATCCCATTTATCTCTTAAAATCTATATAACACAGTATACATTGAAAATAAATAATCCCTGTGGGTCTAGAAACAGCCCGGGTGTCTGGGGTATGAGGAATGGCTGGGTGGGACCCATTGCTCCTGGTACCCAGTGAAGTCCCCTCTCCAGCTCCTGTGCTCTCCCAGTCCTGCAGGGGGCAGCAGCACATGCTTTGGGACTGGCCTTCCTGGTGCCCTGTCTCGTTGGGGCTTATTGCTTCCCAGTCAGTCACATCTTTAAATGGCCAGTTTCCTGCTTGGTTCTGAGCATGGGTCTTCATGATGGTTGGGTGCGGACTCCATCTCAGTTTCCGTCTGGGATCGGGCTTTCTTGTGCTATCTGTTGGCTAGTTTGTGACATGTCCTGCCCTTTCACCCTGCTCATTCAGGAGACGGGAGAGCAGGATGGCCCGGGCCTGTAGGCTGTATAACATTCTACACAGATACCTGAGAGGGGAGGGCTGCCTGGGTGCTGCAGGCCGGCGCTGCCTGTCACTGTACGGGCTAAAGTTCGGTGGCTAGCGGGTACTGTGCACCTGGGACGGGCTGGGCCACTGGGTCTCGGCCCATTAAGGCAGTGGGACACAGCCAGGCAGACTCCCCACTGTCGTTCTGAGCTCCATAGTCTGTCTGTCCAGCAAGTCTTGGGGTGGCTTGTGAGTCGCTCCCAGATGCATACGCAAAGGCGAGGAGGCTTCCTGTTTAATAAGATCCTTCATTTCTGCTTTTCCAAAGACGCTGTGTGTAAGATGGGCCCCAGTGCTCCAGGAGTCACGGTCAGTGTTCCTTCAGCCTAAATGCAAAGGGTGTGGTGACAGAGGGCCACACGGCAGATGCCACACACACACACACACACACACACACACACACACACACTGCACAGACCCTCCCCACAGCCAGCCCTGTGCCCTCCCTGGGATGCCTTGCTTCAGGAGCTGGCTGGTGGGCGAACTATGCGCCCTTCCCATGGCTTCACGGTGGCGGGTTGGGGTGGTGGGGGGTGGGGAGGAAGGGGACAACAGCTGCTGGAGAGACTCTCAGCTGGGAAGCCACAGCTCAGCAAACTCCACCAAGACGGCAGTTTCCTCACATTCCCCTCGCTGGGGAGTGTGAGGAGAGATTCGCGGCATCACACCCACACGGAGGCGCTTATTAGACAAGGAAGGAGAGGGACTGCGGTGTGCCCAAACCGGGGATGAGACGCTAGCTCTTCCCTTCCTGTCAGGTTGCCTGGAGTGGCCTCTACTCCAGAGAGGCCACAGTGGACTTACGGAGCCTGGATTCCTGCAGCCGGCCCTGGACAGCTCAGTTCCTTGTGGATGAGGCGGATCAGGAACTGCGCCCAAAAACAGAGAACAGATACTGTCACGGTGTGAGGACGGACGCGGAGGGCAGGTGTGGCCTGATGAACTGAGGGGCTCCCCCTCTGAAGCACCCACAGGCTTACGCCTCGTGGAGACACTGTCCTCGTGGAGACACTGTCGTCAGAGACTAATGCCAGCACCTGGCCCGAGGTGAGGGCTGCCCCTCACTAAGTCCTCAGGATGATCCAGACGCCTGCCTCAACACAGGCTTTTAGCACAGACTTCAAAACCGACCCGACCACAAAGACGGAAGCAAGGCAGGAAATGAAGGGGAAGTGAGCAGCTCGTGAGACGGGGTGCTGGGAGGCTGAGGTAGTGTCTCAGGATACGTGGTTTGTAGAGAGCCTCGCGGAAGCCTAGCCTGGTGTGTGTGTGTGTGTGCGCGCGCGCAAGCGCGCGCCTTTGGTGGCCTTCTGCACAGTGCTAACTGCTAGGCAGAGAGCCATTGACTTACCAGGTTAGCTTCACACTCTAAATGTGTCAAAAGGCTCAGAGTAGTTTTTCACCGAAGCAGAGTAATGACTGGCTGCCACCCACAGCTCAGGGCTGACCCCCGCCGCAGGTGTGGAGCTAGCAGACCTCGGTCAGGTTCTGGGGCAGCAGTGGAAGGGAACCCTGAGAGAAGTCTCAGCTTCTGGTGGCAGGTACTTAAAGACAGCAGGCACCCTTCATCCAGAGGGGCTTGGAGTCAGGAAGCAGGCAGTGCAGGGACTGAGGGACCACTGCTCCCCATCAGCTGCACACCAGGCCTCGGGTTTTGGCTCTTAGATGCTCCAAGTTCAAGATGGAGGCCCACGCTGGGCGGTGGCGGCGCACGCCTTTAATCCCAGCACTCTGGAGGCAAAGGCAGGCGGATCTCTGTGAGTTCGAGGCCAGCCTGGTCGACAGAACTAGTTCCAGGACAGCTAGAGCTATATAGAGAAACCCTGTCTGGAAAAACAAAAACAAAACAAAACAAAAATAATAACAAAAAAACCACCACCAACAAAAAAGCTGGAGGCCCGCATGCATAAGCTAAGGAGAATGGGCACATCTACGGGCAATACACTGTCCCAGCACTTGGCTTGGCCCACGAGCAGTCACTGTCCACTCACTGAAAAGTGATGGGAACAGGCAAATGCCAGAACCAGAGTTGGCGGCAATAGAATTTGGCAGCAACCTGGGACTGACTCCAGCTCTAGCTCTAACTTCCCCTGGGCTGAGCTGTCAGCCTGCCAATACCGACACCCCCACCGAGCACGACGCGTGGCAAGTGCCGGCAGCAGAGGCCTGTGATGGTGAAGCCGAACTGCCAAGCGGAAGAAGGAAGAGGGAAGGCAAGTGCTGCCTGTGGGGACGCGGCAGCCTGTGTGAGGGGTCAGAAGGACCCAGGTCATCTTCCCACAATGCTCTGTGCCCATGCAGGTGACAGTGACCAGCGGCAAGGGGACTGACACCCGAGTGAGGGGTTAGAAGGACCCAGGTCATCTTCCCACAACGCTCTGTGCCCACGCAGGCGACAGTGACCAGCGGCAAGGGGACTGCCGACTCCCGGTGTCTGCCCCCAAGATGCTGGGAGCCTGGGTGTAGAGAGCTGGAGAGAAGACTTACAGCCTGAGCAGTCCTGCTGCCCAGGTGGTGGGAATGTGGTCCCCTAGCATCCCTGAGGAGGTGCCTCAGCCTGACTGGGAAGGGGGTAAAACTGCTCTACTTTAAGGAAAAACACTGGGAAGAGGAAGTGCCTGCCTGAGCTTTAGGGCATTTATTTGCTTACGTACAATTTGAGGAAGTGTCTTATGCAGCCCAGCTCTGATCTGCTGTCAGTGCTGTGCTGGGCATGAGTGCAGGGTATATAGGAAAGCAGGCTCCTCTGAGCCATGTCCCCAGCCTTCAGAGAGCCAAAGGTGACCCTGACCCTCCAGCTCTTCTGCCTCCACCTCTCCAGTGCCGGGGTTACAGGGATGCAGTGCCGGGTTTACAGGTGTACAGTCCTGGGGTTACAGGGGTGTAGTGCTGGGTTACAGGTGTACAGTCCTGGAGTTACAGGGGTGCAGTGCTGGGTTACAGGGGTGCAGTGCCGGGTTACAGGAGTGTAGTGCCGGGTTAAGGGGTGCAGTGCTGGGTTTACAGGTGTATAGTCCTGGGGTTACAGGTGTGCAGTGTGGGGTTACAGGTGTGCAGTGTGGGGTTACAGGTGTGCAGTGTGGGGTTACAGGGGTGCAGTGTGGGGTTACAGGTGTATATAGTGCCAGGGTTACAGGTGTATAGTGTTGGGGTTACAGGGGTGCAGTGTTGGGATTACAGGGGTGCAGTGTGGGGTTGTAGGGGTGCAGTGTGGGGTTACAAGTGTACGTTACCACTCCCAGTTTAATATGGTGCTGGGGATTGAACCCGAGACTTTGTGCCTATTAGATAAGCACTCTACCAACTGAGCTACATCTCCAGCTTTTTTTACTCTTCTTCAAGACAGGGTCTCATTCTGTAGTCCAGGCTGGGCCAGTAACTCAATATACAGCTTGGGCTAGCCTCAAATTAGTGGCAGGTGTATGCATTCTGAGTGCTGGGATTATGGGTCAGTGGGAGATCTGCAGGTCACTGGGCATGCCCAAAAGGGATAGTGGGACCCTAACCCCTTCCTCTTTCTTTGTTTGGTTTCCTAGCCATGTAGTTCCTTTCCAGAGGCTAGCCTCGTCATAGGCTCAAAGCAATCCTGGACTGAAAAATCCAAAGCTGTGGGCCAAACTGAACCTTCCCAGTATGACTGCGTTGGTGTTTGCTATAATGACTGACACAGCAGGCAGACTAGGGTCTGTCCCACAGCTCCAGGGCGACTAACTGAAGGTACATGCGTTAGAAGCGAGGAGACCCACCAGTAAGGCACAGGCATCTGCAAACATCAGCATGTAGAACACGTTGCTCCATCCGGAAGGGGAGATGAGCCCTGCCAGCAGGGGGCCCAAGGCGGCTCCTGGAACAGGAACACAGGTACTGGTTAAGGACCCTGTCTGACACACCATTATAAATGAACTCGGTGTGGTGACTCACACCTTTAATCCCAGTGCTTGGGAGGCAGAGGCAGGAGGATTCCTGTGAGTTCAAGGCTAGTCTGATTATATGGCGAGTGCTAGGACTACAGAGACCCTGTTTCAAAAAAACAAAAATGAAACAATAAATAAATGGACTTTTATGTAGAGAAATCTGAACCCAACACACACTCTCAGCTACCCCTGTGCTCAGCAAACGTCACTGAAGAAATCTATAAGAAACACAGGACTTAGGCCCTGCCATGTCAACTGCCCGATTCTGACCATTGCACGCCAGGGAGCTCCCCGTATTTGAGGGGGGTGCTGGACAGTTATTTGCAGAGGGCAGTGTGGCTGCATCTTACTTCAGTGGTTCAGAAAAATATGCCCACCCATGTGCAAAGCCTGTGTGCATAAGCATGCACTTACATGCACAATTGTACGTGTGTACAACTGCAGGTATGCATGCATGTGTATTCATGTGTACAAGTTTGTTATAATTGCATGTGTGTACATAAGTATGCATGTGCACAGCATGCATATGTACACACCTGCACAAATGCTGTGTATGTACAACTATGTATATACGTGTGTGTGCATATATATGTATGCATACAAGTGTGCATATGTGTGTACAAGCAGGCATGTGTATACATGTGCACAAGTGTGTGTGTGTGTGTGCATGTATGAATGAGGTGTGGGGTAAAGACAACTCAAGATGCTTGTGAACTCTTTTTGCATTATATTTGTGAGGCTTTTTTTTACAAGTCTAAAATTATGTCAAATAAACTTTGAAAGCTATACAAACAAAAGACATTTGCAGAAGAACGTTTGCCACAGTGCCTAGAGTATTTCTCTCACCGTGGGTGGGGGATCTGACAAGGAGATGGCTTGTCCAGCAGCTGCATGCTAAGGAGCTTGGGGAATTGCCTCCAGGATACTGACTGTAGTACCTGAGAACTGAGGGACCTCATCCAGTGACTGTTCCAAGGGAGTGCACATTACTCTTTGATCTGATTTGATAAACTTTTTCCATGTCTCAGCATGGTGACAGGCAAACATCAGCTACCCATATGAGTTTATTCTGTAAACCCTGAAGACCACAGAGTGGACCACAACTGAATTTTAAAAAGCAGAAATTCACAAAGCAGAGGGCAGAGGAGAGAAAAACATGTTGGGCCACAACCTGGGGATGTCTCCCCATGGCTAGGCTGGCCAAGCACATGACATAGGGGGAGGGGCTGCAGCAGCAAAGGGCCCTCATTTGTTCCCTCCACCACCTCAGAGTCCAGGTCCCTTCTCATCAGAGACTTGGTGACATTCCACAAAAGAGCAGTAGCTGAACCTCTGGGGAGAGCAGACAGTATGAAGGGTACGGGGAAGGCACTAACAGAGACCAGCCCCCAAGCAGCCATCCCCGCTCAGCAATGGCAGGAGAACCAGCACCCTGTGGACAGGAGGGTTCCTGCAGATTCTAGGCTGATCTGTGAGGACCAGGGGGTACACTCCAAGAAGGGACTCCACTAGTTTAGTGGCTTATTCTTAAACACAAAGATACAACGGGAAGGCTTAGAGGACACATAGCTGAAAGACCCAGCTGTGACCAAATACAAACTGTGAGGAGGAAAACCCAGGGGTGGTTTAAACTGGAAGATCCCCAGGGCGTGGGGAATATCATCCTAGAGCACATGGAAAGCCAACTGGGATCTTAAGAAACCCTCATTTTTGTAGCTGAAGATACGCTACATGCAATTACTTCTCACCCAATGCAGCGTCTGGGGCACCAAAAGGGCATTTAATAAAGCATTAGCGAACGTCAGAAACTTGACAGCTAAGATGAGAAGACAACGGTTGAGAGACACAGTCAAGGACACACGTCGGTGAGAGAACAGGAGAGGCAGGAAGGACAAACACAGAAAGACACAAGAAGGAACACTCTGGAAACCCTGACCCTTGACTAACGTTTTCCAGAAAGCAAGATAGAAAACTGGTAGCCAAACTTAGCAAAGAAGCAGCAGTGCCCGTCCCCTAAGACGCATGCACGGCCTTCTTCCACAGGGAAGCCTGCCAGGGGCAGCAAGGTGGGTAGAGAGACTGGAAGGGCGGGAGGAGAGCCAGGTCAGCGTGGGGAGAGTGACAGCCGACGTCTACGGCCAGTGATGGAGCCTGAGAGACACTGGGGCTCTGGAAGAGGCCCTGATGTTCAGTGAAGATGGACCCCCAACACCACAATCTTGCTAAGCTCCAGGGATCTTAGGAAGCTCCTAGATGACCGTCCCACCCACAGAGAGGCAGTTTCCGGGAGTCTAGCAAACAGGACTCAGACATAAGAGGGAGGAGACGCCGGTGTGGCGGAGGGGGAGGAAGCAGTCTATGTAGCTGAGTAGGCAGCTCTGTGTGGCCTGTCACCAGGCTGCCAGGTGGATGGCAGCAAGGAAGGGACTTAGAAGGTGTGGTATCAGAGGCCAGAGCAACCAGGACAGGCACAAACAAAAGGCAAACGGGGACAGTAAAGTCAGGGAGGGGGGGTGTCAGGCCTGAGGACCCGCAGGGTTGACTTCCTGACAGAGCCTGTGTGATGGAGGGTGTAGGGCAGAGTGGGGGAGAGTCTAGTTCCCTTGGGGAGGGGACATGAGATGGTGTCTAGACTGAGGAGTCCAGGAAATTCATTATGAAGTGAGGTTAGCAGCAGCGGGGGTGGGGGGGTTGGGGGGTTGGGGGGTAGGGGGGGGAGGGATTACTCTAAGAAGAGGGCCTGGGCAAGCAGAGCCAGGTTCTGTCACATTGTATCATAAAAGCTCTTAGGACTATCTAGCCCCTGTGGCTACATTATGTATTACTTTGATAAAATTAAACCTTGAAAACACCCATGGCGATGTTTAACTGTTCTGCACACACATGTAACAAGGGCAGCCTTGAGTCTCACTGACATGTCGCTCCGAATGCTGCAAACATGTGAGCCATACGGCATTCCTGACTTGGGAGAAGGCACTGGCTGCTTTGGAATCCGCTGAGCTGTGCCTCTGTCTGAACCTGCGCTGACTAATAGACACGGACACTTGACAAGCACTGGGGGCAGACACTTCCCCTGTGTGATGCTTCTGCTAAAGTGGTGTGCCGTCCCTGGAGCCTTCTCTTGCTTCATCTTGTGGGTAGTGTGCACGGGAGACACAGAGCTGGGACTTGATGGAGGACCGGTGTTCATGCTGTTTCCATGGTGACTGGCTACTGAGTCCCTGTGCACTTATCAGGGAAGCATGGGGGCTGGGGTCCAGGAGTCCAGCTCCTCAGGTTCCAATGGCAATGTTGTAGGAACCCAAGTGGGGACAGGCTTTGAAGGGGGGCAGAGCATGATGCTGAGGGCGGAGAAGGCTCACTGGCTTGCCGCCCTTCTGATTAGAACATGGTGGTTTCCTTCTCCACAGCCCAGCGTTGTGGTGGTGAGGTTCACCTCTCCCCTGAGGCAGCCCCTCTCCCTTTAGTCTCGTGTTTGAGGCGAATGTCAAGAGAGAAGTGTTGTTTTCTACCTCCTTCCTGATTTTTTCTTTCTGATTCTCTCTTTACTGTAGTGCCCGGGCTGCTGGCAGGACTCCATGTTAGGTTTAAGCATGGTGTCCCGGGAGCAGCAGACTTCTGTAGGACAGAGCGGGGAGGGTGTGTGTGTGTGTGTTTGTGGGGGGGGTACATCTAAAGTTGTGTGAAGTCTCTCTTGGGCTGGGTGAACTGGGAGATTGGTGAACCTCTCCTCACAGGAAGGGTTGTGCTGCTTCTGAGACCCATTCAGGCAAGGCAATCCAGTGACCCCACCCCCCCAACATGTCCCAGACAAGCCCCAGGGGCCACGAGGGGCCCTGACGGGGGCGTCGTCAGACCAGTGACCACAAATGCCATGCAATACACCTGTATCACCTCCAGGTTCAGCAAAACAAAGGAACCAATGCTGAGGACTAGCTGCGCCTGACCTTGGTGACCTGCTAAGCTGAAGCCTGGCTTTGTTGACAATAATGATCTTCCCTGTGCCTGACAGGACAAACCAGTCTCTCACAGGAAGGAGATGAGATTCCTGTGACTGGGGGCTGTAGTCTTACCTGAGGAACCTCTCTGCCATAGCCCTGATCCTGCGGGACCACATCTGTGAATGCGCCACTCCCAAACAGGAGACCTGAGTCCTTGCCTGTGACTGTACCTGCCTTGGACCAGCGTCAGCACAGCTCACTGACGATGCCACCCAAGATGGGAGCCTTAACTCCCATCTACAGAAGAGCAGCAAAAGGTGTCTCTGCCCTCCATAGCTCAGGTTGTGTTTGGTGAGGGCAGGGTCCGAAGAAGATGGCTCCTTGGATCTCCAGGCTTGGAGTTTTACCAGATCCTAGATGTCTGTACCCCAAGGAGGGTCAGCTTGGATCTGGAATGCCCCAAAGGGCTATGCGCTAAAAGCTTGATCACCACCCTCTAGTGCTGTTGAGAGTTGGTGGGACGTTCAGGACCTACTGGGAGGAAGTTAGGTCATCGGGTGTGTGCCCACCCCTCCTGTCTCTCTCTGCCATGAGGGGGGGTAGCATGGTGTACCCATCATGATACTTTGTTTCCCACAGGAACAGAATAACGGGCCAACCAGTCACAGGATAAAACCTTCTAAACTGCGAGCCAAAACAACCCTTCCCTTTACCGAAGTTGGCCCTCGGTGGTATTTTGTTACAGTCACACAAAACTGACTCACACAGGGGTGAGACATTGCCACCTTTTGTCACTCCCGAGTGTGCTAAGGAATCTCTCTCCAGAGACCTCAGCAAGGTGGGTGACAGGATCCTGTGTACTTCTGGGTTGATCCGTTTTCCTGTAACTTAAACTGAAGTAAGATCCTGTCTTTCCTGGAGGGACTGTAACGAAAATGAGAGCCTGAAGTTTGCCAGCCCCTGGGTCAAACGAGAGCCTGGAGGTGCATTCACTCCCACAGCTCCCCCTCTCAAGCCATAGCTGCGGCCTCCACAGCCGACTCCCCTGAGCATCTGGGGGCAGCCAGTCCCGACACTGGCAGCAGAGCCTGGGCACCGTTAGTCAGGAACAGTAGCATCCCTCCTTCGCCCCACGCAGCTCTTGGGGAGGGGGTAAGGCGTTCTCTGCGTACCTACAGATCCAGTGCCGTCAATGATGGCGGTCACGGTGGACAGGGCGTGAGAGTTCCCTTTCAGACTTTTGTGAGTGCCCTGGGGGAGTGGAGAAGAAGGCTGTGAAACACGGGCAGGTGAGGGGTGGGAAATAAACCCGCCCCTGATACATTACACAGAATTCTCCTCAGAAAGTCTACACCCAGTGGTGGCGCACGCCTTAAATCCCAGCACTCGGGAGGCAGAGGCAGGCGGATCTCTGTGAGTTCGAGACCAGCCTGGTGGTTTACAGAGAGAGTTCCAGGACAGCCTTCAAAGCCACAGAGAAGCCCTGTCTCAAAAAACAAAACAGAAAAGAAAAAGAAAAAAAGAAAGTCTACACCCTATGTCACCTCAAGCTAAGCTAAGCTTGGAGGGCTTCTAAGAGACAGAAATCCTTCAAAATACCTTCCCCGGGCAAATTTAGTTATTTGTGACTCTCTTAGTCTAAAAAATTCAGTTAGAATCCCTCATCTGCTTCTTTCTCTTGTGTGTTGACCATTTTGCTCTGCCTGGTGTGGACGCTTCCAGAACATTCCATGGGCACTGAGTGTGCACACTCATACCCACCCAAGGGATAAGCTTGCTAGGGGTGGATTCAGAAACACACCTAACTCCAGGGCCAGGCAGAGCCAACCTGCTGCCTTGGATAGATGGCGTGGGATGGGGAGGCTTGGTCAAAGCTGGGCACTCTCTGTGGATCACTCAGGGACAGGATTTACACTTCAAGGTGGGGAGGAAGAGCCCTGACAGAGTGTGGCAAGGGGCAGCTGCTGGAAGTCTCAAGACACAGGCTATCTAGACACAAGTGTGAAGGAAGCTTTACCCACTGAGGCAGTGTTGGCCCTGAGTAGGGGGGGCGGCGGCGTGTGACTTACCAGGTCTGCAGAGACGGCGGTGGTGATCAGTGCATAGGGCCCGCTGACTAGGGCCCCACTGAGGAGCAGCATGGCTGTGGGAAACAGAGGGGACTCAGAACGGAGCCTGCCCGGGCCAGCAGTCCACTGGCGAGGGCAGGGAGGGGCCCATCCCCCAGGGGCCATCTCCAGGGGGCAGCATAAATGGCTTCGGCACTGTGTCTGGGGATGCATCGCCATGCCTCCCCAAAGCCTCAGAGTCCCCCCTTTTGGGGGATCTAAAACTCAAGTTCCCCAGCCCCATGGACAGCAGCTGATGACGTAGTGGGAGGGGACGAGAGCCGGAGCGGACCAAGGCCAGGCCAGTGGCGGGTCTATGCCACAGTCTCTTAACCACGGGCAGGGGTGCCCCCCCTTCAACTGCAGGAGCTCATTTTCCTGAAGAGACTCTGGGTCTCAGTGGCAGAGTTCTTTCTAGGTCACTTGTGATAAGACCCTACTCCTCTCCCTGCAGTCTCCACAGCTGGCTCTCCACTTTACACAGCCAACTCCAGGGCGTGTGGCTAAGGCCCCACTCCCCAGGCTCCTCTGGGAAGCTCCCCCTCTTGGCACCCAGAGCCAAGCACTGCTGGCCGGGTAGCTGTACTTACCCATGCTGACACACCTGCACTGTTCAGGTCCACGCCCAGAAACTGGGGAGGGACACGGGGCCACACTGCTCAGTCACCTCAGCCTAATGCCTCTAGATTGGCTTTTACCTTTCATGTCATGGTGTTGTGTGAACAGACAACGTGTGTGTGTGTGTGTGTGTGTGATGCTACTCACCTATGGTGGCTTCCAGTCCCATTTTGCTGACGGAGGAGAAGATGTAGAGCTGTGGGAATTAGGAACGAGGAGGAGACGGCTCAGCACAGGCAGCTGCAGGCTGCTGGGAGCCTGTGGTTTAGAAAGGGGGCCAATAGGGACCACCTGGCTGCTGAGCATGTGGCTCAGGGCTTTGGGGGAACTCGCAGGGTGGGACTCTGAGTGCCCAGGACTGGTCTGACGCTGCCTGTCCGAGTGAGCACTGTATCCTGGGTACAGTCGTCCCCCACCCCAGCAGTGGGGCCATGCTGCTTATCATGCCCCAAGGAGTGCCTTATAGAGCCTGAGGCCTGAGAGGACTCGGCCATGTCCCTGGGACCGTGGCAGCCTTGGGGAGAGAGGCAGTAGACACGTGCAATGTGACAACAGGACAACGTCTCATGTCACAAACTGCAATGGCCAGCCAGCACCGCACCGGCTGTGACATCCACACTGTGGGGTAATGCGACTCCCGAGCGGGCGGCAGGGAATCTGAGGCAGGGAAGTCACCTGCCCAAGGTCATGAGCTTCTCAGTGCTTGAAAAGGATGAGCCTGACGTGATGGGGGCTCATTGAGCCTGGAAGGGAGGGAGGGCGCACGGGTCCCCAGGGACAGGCAAGAGTGTGATCAGGACGCGGGCGGGGCAGACATCGGTGCAAGGGATACCCCATAGAGAGAGGCAGCCCACGAGAAACCCAGGGAGAGGGAGAAGCATGGTGGGTGCAGCCCAGGGGTTGGGGCAGACCAGCCTGAAGGAGGCCCTGCGCTTCCGGCCAGGGACAAGCAGGGCTTCTAGGGCAGTGGCTGGTGCAGAAGATGAAACCCACTGCCCATGCCAGTGGACAGAGCCGGGGCTCACCGTGGGTGCCGCCAGCAACAGCATCAGACCACAGGTGGAGGCTCGTTTCTCCAGGCGGTCGGAGATCACTCCTGCCAGGATGCCGCCTGTAACAGAGGGGACAGACTTATGAGCCGATGCCTGGCACATGCTCCCCAGAGGAGACCAAGTCACAGGGGGCAAGAACAGCAGCAACCTTCCCGGAGCCTGTCCCCGATGGGCAGCGGAGAGTGGCCACTTGGGGCCTGCCTAGCAGGACTCATCATGTACGGGCCACGGGCGTCACAGGGTGTTACGGTCAGGCTTCAGGGCAACTCTGAAGTACCTGGTATGTATAAATGCCATCAATTCCCGGGGTGTATGCATGTCATTCCCGAGGGCAGCTGGCTTAAGGTCACTGTGTCACACGGTGCCCTCCCAACAGTAAAAGTAACTCAAACAGGGACTGATAGACTGTTTTGTTTTTTTTGTTTCAAGGGTCTCTCACTGTGCAGGCCAGGCTAGCCTCCGACTTGCCATCCTGCTGCCCTCGGCTTCAGAGTGCTGAGTCACGGGGGTGGGTCACTCACCCAGCTTTATGGCTAGGTTCCTGGCAACGTGGAGTGAATGGTCTGGAACTCACCAAAGATCCCGCCCACGTCAAACAGCGTGGACAGCTCCCCAGCTTGCTTGGCATCCAGGTGGTCTGTTGAATGACCAGCGTGCGAGCTAATGAGGACGCGGCCTCAGTGATTACCCCAGAGGGACCCACGCAGGACTCTGCTCCACCAGTGGATTCACACAACTAATCACCCGAAGAGCTCAGATTTAAAAGGAGGTGGGCTGACGCATCTCACCCCGGCCTGGCACTGCCTGGCCGTCCTTACGCCCTTTGATTGGCCACCACAGGGGCATCGCCTCGGGAAAGAAAGTGCGTCCAGAAAGCTGCCTGGTGTGCACACGGTTTAAGACTGTAGGCAGGGCTCCCCAGAGCAACAGCTAAGAACACTCAGCCAGTCACACAGTGAAACTGACCATGTGCTACCTGACCCCAGGAGCGAGGGACTGGCGCCTTCCTGTGCCTCAGTGGCAGGGTACCCTTCATGCCCCTTTGCTTCCAGTCGGCCAGACCCATCTCACCCACCCCGAATGCCGCCTGCAGGGAACTGGGCTTGGCTCAAACCAAGACTTGGACTGGGGGCATCCAGGAAATTCAACACTCCAGTCAAGACTGTTCCCTGGTGAAAGGGACCACGGCCTTCTGCTGAGACTTCCTGCTAGACCACACTCTGCACTGGAGATGAGGTGGAGGTTGTTATGCAGGGCCCTGGGCCCTGAGGGAGCGCCTTGGGCCCTCCTCATCCACCCTCATTCCTTCTGCAGCTCATCCTTGTTAGCCACGCCCCCAGAAGGTCCCCTTGCTGCCTCCCCAGCTTCTCTGGCTGAGGCGATGCTCCCTCCAGCTTTGGGCTCTGGTCAACCTTGATATGGCCTTATGACACCCATTGAAATCTGACCCTCCCATTCTTAAAGTCCCTCCCTTCGCATGCTGTTGACAGAGCCCAAGGCCAAGGCTGTATCTACAAAACCCTGCTGCTTTTCCCCTCTCCCCTACTTCAACGTGCCCCGTGACCCCCCACCCCATCAGTACAGAACCTGCGACAGCCCTGACTTGACTCCCTGGAACTGCTGACCTCTTGTCACGCTACGCACAAACGATACACACCTATGTAGTACTATTTTCCTGGAACTCCCTATCACGAGCCACGGCTTCAGATGTTCTTGGATTCTGGGAACCTAAGACAGGCTGCCAGCCCTCCCTCGAATCAGAACACATCCCCAGAAACAGTTTCTAGGTCAGGTTTCTAAGGATGTCTTATCCCAATCCCCCGTGGCCACGCTCTGATTTGCTGCCTGCTACGCTTCAGAGTCCAGCATGGCCTAGATGTAAAAGCAGGCAGCCTCCGAGAACCGCAGAGGGGCCGGGGTGTACCCAACAAGCCCAGTGGAGGCTATCGCCAGAGTCACAAAGCGTGTGCACCTCTCCATGCTCTCCCATCGGCTGAGCCACGCCGCCCCTCTCTCCACTCAGCACGCGTGAGGTCCCCGTTACAAGGCTCTGGCCCGGCAGGTGTAGAGGAGTTCTGGGCAGTCAGTGCACGGAACTGAGCCTCACTTCCAGCAAGCACTCACCCACGTTGGTGATGTACAGCGGGAGCCAGAACAGGAATGTGTAGCTGACCAGCTTGGCAAACAGCAAGCACAGAGAGAACTCAATCACGCCCTGCAAGAGGGAGGGCGACCGTCAACCCCAGGTGGGACCGAGTACAGATGGCTATTCCCCTGTAGACATGCTGTGTTTCTACAAGGTTCAGCCTGGCTCAGGGGGACACGGTGGGGGGAAGGGAGCAAGCCCAGGAGATCCGGAGCACACACTCACCTGGCTACCCGGAAGGCAGAGACACAATGTCCACATCCAACAACAGCCAATGAGAAATCACTGCCAAATGATGGCCAGTGATTTCCTCCTGGGGGAATGTTCATTAAGCCTCTGGATCTGGGCTGGGGAGTTGGCTCACTGCGTAAGAGCCAACTTGCTATCTAAGCACACCCTGAGTTCAAATCCCCAGCACCCACATAAAAAGCCAGGCATAGTTGTGTGTGTCTGTAACTCCAGCACTGGAGGGTGGAGGTAGGCAGATCCCGGCAATTCACCGGTGAGCTGTCTAGCCAAATCGGCAAGTTTCCGGTTCAGGTAGAGAGACCCTGCTTCAAAGTAATGAGGTGGGTAGCGATGGGTGAAGACACCTGACATCTTCCTCTGACCTCTGCATGTGTTTACATGGGTGTGTGCACCCTCACACTCATGGGCAAGCATCACACACATACATGCATGCCCACACACTTGCACACCAAACCATTGGTGTTTTCCAGTTGTTCTCATGGCACAAGGATGGGAGTGTGTCACCCCACCATTAGCCTACATGCCTGGCATGCTCTACACTGGGATGGACTCATCTCACTTCATCCTCAGGTCAACAGATGGCATCGCACCAGGGGAGGAGCCCAGTGATGGGCAAACAGAAGATCAGTGAGGACGCTCAGCTGGGCAGGGGCAGGGGGAGCGTGAAAGCCGGGCCAGGCCTCCCAAGCCCGTCCTGTCCACACTGCCCACGACTGGCATTCATTTACATGCTGTGCTAGTCTGCTGCCTGGCTGATGTCAGCAGGAGTATTTGGGCGGCAGCAGACTACAGCGGTGAGGCACCACACAAGGGACTTCTAGCCAGCAGCAGGAGCGCAGTCTTAGAGATGAGGTCCATTTTAAGCTGCCATGTTCCGATGGCTGGCTGTGAGGCACGTTCAGGAGGCCAGTGCCCAGGCCTGTGCCTGAACTGTGGAGACTGGCCAGGGCTCACAGCTATCAACTGTGAGATGGCCCACCCAGGGCATTGTGGGAGCCAGCTGACACACAAGGGCCAGAGCATAATCAGGTCCAGCCGCTTAGGACCCTAGTGCGTTGCCGGGGAGTCTTCTGTAAACCTCTACTCCCTGGATTCTGGACCTCCCTGTGGCCACGCTGGGCACTCAAGACCCTCACTGTGCTGAGGACAAGGAGCAGACTCAGTAGAGCCACAGAACACAGGGTGAGCACGGAGAGCCTCCCATGGAGCACCCCATCCCTCAGAGCCAGAAAGCACGTGACCGGGAGGGTAGAGACTCAAGAGGGACAGGAGGGAACACGGCTGCAGGACTAGAGCAGCCGGCTTGCCGTTTTCCAAGCGAGAACATTTGTCAAATTTTACGTCTGTGAAGTTTCTGAGTGGGAAAAACTAATTTCGAAAATGACAGAAATAGAACAGAACAAAGAGCTCACATACACAGCCACACTCACCCCAGACTGACCAGCCACACCGCCCACACAGGACCCACGAGCTACACCGGCACACGCTTCTCTTTCAGGCTCCTCTCCCCGGCTGTGCCGACTCACCGGGATCCTCAGGGCTCCCGTGAAGCTGATGGCCGCCATGCTGCCACTGCAGTCACCAGGGAGGACAACGATGTGGCTCGGGTGGAGAGAGCTCTTCCCGTCAGAGAGCAGTAAACACTGCAGCTCGGGGTCCTGGAGACGAAAGCAGAAGGGACGGATGTCGCTGGGGTGTCTGGCTGACGTGAGGCCAGAGTTCTAAGTCACCTGGTTTCCCGCTAAGAGCCTTAGGAACACACATGGGTGACAATGTCAACCCCATGGTCGCATCAGCTGTCAGCGTCCACCTGAAATGCTATTATCTCGTAAAACTCTTTGGTTCAGAAACAGTGAAAAACAGCTGAGTGGTGGTGGCGCACACCTTTAATCCCAGCACTCTGGAGGCAGAGGCAGGTGGATCTCTGTGAGTTCGAGGCCGGGCTGGTCTACAGAGTGAGTTCCAGGACAGACAGGGCTACACAGAGAAACCCTGTCTTGAAAAAACCAAAAATAGGGATGGTGATGCCTCTGGAAGTTCTTTATACCTGACTTCGAGCTCTATTATAGAGCTATAGTCCTGAAAACAGACAGGTAGACCAATGGAATTAAACTGAAAACCCTGATGTTAACACACACACCTACTAATACCTGATTTTTGACAAAGAAGCTAAAATTATACAATGGAAAAAGAAAACATTGTCAACAAATGGTGCTGGCATAACTGGATGCTGACATGTAGAAGACTGCAGATAGATCCATGTCTATCGTCATGCACAAAACTTAAATCCAAATGGATCAAAGACCTCAACATAAATCCAGCCACACTGAACCTTTTAGAAGAGAAAGTGGGAGGTACCCTTGAAGGAAATGGTACAGAAGACTGCTTCCTGAACATAACACCAGTAGCACAGACACTGAGATTGACAATTAATAAATGGGACCTCTTGAAACTGAGAAGCTTCTGTAAGGCAAAGGACACAGTCAACAAGAAAAAGGCAGCCCACAGAATGGGAAAAGATATTCACTAACCCTACATCTGACAGGGCTGATCTCCAAAATTTACAAAGAACTCAAGAAGCAAGTCTCCAAAACACCAAAGGATCCAATTAAAAAGTGGGGTACAGAACTAAATAGAGAATTCTCAATAGAGGAGTCTAAAATGGCTGAGAGGCACTTAAGAAAGTGCTCAACATCCTTAGCCATCAGGGAAATGCAAATCAAAACAACTCTGAAATACCATCTCACTCCTGTCAGAATGGCTAAAATCAAAAAAACCAACGACAGTTTATGCTGGAGAGGATGTGGAGAAAGGGGAACACTCCTCCACTGCTGGTGGGAGTGCCGACTCATACAGCCTCTTTGGAAATCAGTATGGAGATTCCTCAGGAAAATGGGAATCAGTCTACCACAAGACCCAGAAATTCCACTCTTAGGCATATACCCAAAAGATGCACATTCATACAACAAAGACATCTGTTCCATTATGCTCATAGCAGCATTATTTGTAATAGCCAGAACCTGGAAGCAACCTAGATGCCCCTCAACTGAAGAGTAGATAGAGAAAATGTAATACATTTACACAATGGAGTACTACTCAGTGGAAAAAAACAATGGAATCTTGAAATTTGCAGGCAAATGGATGGCACTAGAAGAAATCACCCATTCACAAAAAGACAAACATGAGCCTTCATCCAGTGGCTGATGGAAGCAGAGGCAGATACCCACAGCTAAACACGGAACTGAACTCCTGGAACTCAGTTGCAGAGAGGGAGGAGTGATGAGCAAAAGGGTCAAGACCAGGCTGGTGAAACCCACAGAAACAGCTGACCTGAACAAGGTGGGAGCTCATGGACCCCAGACTGATGGCTGGGAGGCCAGCATGGGACTGATCCAGACCCCCTAAATTATGATATCAGTGAGGAGGCCTCGGCAATCTATGGGGCCTCAGGAAGTAGATCAGTATCATTCCACATGGAGGGATGAGCTCTCAGCCTGGACACATGGGGGAGGGCCTAGGCTCTGCCCCGATGATATGACAGACTTTGGAGATGCCCCATGGAGATCTCCTCCTGAGGAGCAGAGTGGGGGTTGGGTGGGAAGGTTGGGGGGTTGGGGGAGGAGGGGAAGGAGAGGGAGTTGGGATTGATATGTGAAGCAAGCTTGTTTCTAATTTAAATTATAAGAACAATAAAAAAGAAAAAACAAAATACAGAAAAATGAACCCCACATGTGGAAAAGGATCGGTGGGTTAAAGTACACCCATTTGGATGATGCATCTTGCACCCAACATCTGGAAGATTCTGGCAATGGGAAAAGATTTTTAGCATCTCTCAAAATAATCAGATTATATTTTTATTAGGATCTAATCAGGTGTGTCCAACCTGCTGCACAGGGCTGACACGTGGCCAAAGATAACTCAGGAACACACCCAACACACAATTATAAACATACTTAAAACAGTAAGAGGTTTTTAAAGTGTGTGTATGCGTAAGTGTATGTGTGGTTTTCTTGTTTGTTTAACTCAATTACACAGTTCTCTGGCATGAACCTTGCAGATGACAACATGATTGAACATGCCTGAAGCGATGATTTCTGCATTCATCCACGTCTACAGAATACTTTTCTGGAAAGAGAAGCTAAACTCTAAGCCAGCAATGTGGTCACCACACTGTAGAATGAGGTAATTTCATGGTCTTTCTAGGGAGGAATTCATCACAGGACCCTGGATCTTGCAAAGATTTCCACAGGGACAAACATTGGCAGAAGCGATATTACTCTAACTTTTGCAAGCCAGTTCTGAGATTTATGCCTTCTGGTACCTGGGACAATTCCTAAGGGACAGAATTTGTGCTCACTGGAGCAAAGCAAAGAGATCCCAGCTTTGCATGGGGTTTTAAGTCAGAGCAAGGGTGATATAAAAAGGCTTTTCCTGAATGAACTATGAGTCCCGGGGGCTTACAAAGGAGTGTTCCTGTGTACTTCAGATGTGCTGCGGATGCATTTTATTTGTCTTACTGTAACCCGTGTAAGGTGTACTCAAACTAACATATATATATATATATTAAGATGATGGGGCTGGAGAGATGGCTTGACAGTTAAGAGCACTTGATGTTTTAGCAGAGGACCCAGACTCAATTTCCAGCTTTCAAATGCCTGCGACTCTAGCTCTAGGGATCCAATGCCCCCTTCTGGCCTCTGTGGGAACTGCATACACATTTCACATATAGACAGACAAGCAGGCCCTCAGGCACACATACTAAATAAAAAGGATGAAAGGTAGGAGGCAGGTTTGACATGCAGACACTCAGCATTTGTGTGTGAGCTCAAGATTGACACATCAGGCGGGTCAGGCCCCGCTGACCAGGAGGAAACGTCTTTTGTACTGAACCTATGTGCAATACTTAAGAAGTGTGAACCAAGGACACATTCCACTCTTCCCAGGCACAGGGAACAAAGGGCTGCCTGCCACTCGCACTGGGAGCTGGCTCTGCTCTCATGAATCCAGTCAGGTGTCCAGTTTGGGAGACTCTCCGCCAAGTTAAGTTCTCGGTAGTACTTAACACTGGCTCCTCTGAGAGTCCGAGACACTGTTCCTGGGCTGGCTGAGCTGCAGAAATTTCCCAATAGCTCCAGGCTTCCGGGTAGTCCCTGGGGATCAAGCTGAGGTGGGCAGCAAAGAGCCCTGGCCAGGGGTTAGATGGAGCAAGCCACAAGTGCAGAGAGTCCACCCGGCTGGTCAGCCGCAGAAAGCCCACCTGCTCTCCTACAGCGTAAAGTGCCCTAAGGCGCCACCTGCTGGACTGGCTTAAAGCAGGCCTGGAAGCAGGCACCAGGGGAAGAAGTCTCATTCTCTTTGCAGGTTAGAAGAGCTGGGAAAGTAAAGTAGTTGTAGGTCTTCCAAAGTGAGCAAAGGGGACTGCTATTTCCTTTCAGAGTGAGCGATGAGCCACCCACTAACAAGAGACAAATCCTGGGGGGCAGGGGGCGGGGCTCCTGTCTCAAACTAAGCAGGATCCAAGAGTGCTCCAGCCTGAGGGCTGCGCCACAAATGAGGATTCTTCCGCTGTTGCCCAAGAGCAAACGCTGTCCCTGCTACTGACAAAAGAACAACTCTCTCTCTCTCTCTCTCTCTCTCTCTCTCTCTCTCTCTCTCTCTCTCTCTCACACACACACACACACACACACACACGCAAAGGCTACTGCTGTCACCGAAATGCCTTACTTGGATGTGCCTGTAAGCCACACTGTGGGGATCCTGTGCTCGGTGGAATCTGTGTCTGTGCTTCCCGTCTAGCAAGCCAGGCACAGGTGAATGGGCTCGCCAGTGGGAGGCTCTGCGGGGTCTCAATAGTGTCTGAACCCTGGCCAGTCACAGATACCAAGGATGAGGAGGAGGACAAGTGACCATGGGGATAGGAATTATGTAGGCAACCATCGCCGGCCCACAAAGACCAAAGGGGGCTCCCCATGCAGCCATATACGCGTCTGCATTAAGCCTTGTGCCTGGGGTCAGGCTGGAGCACTCTGGGAAAGGGGATAGCCGGGGCTCCTGCCAAGCTCGGGGGACACCCTGCTACACACCCTAACCCACGGCAAGAGCAGAGGCAGGGGCTTGCTCAAGACGCCGTGTGAGCAGGGTCAGTCCCCACCGTGGCTGGCTTGAATAAGGCTGCCAAGCTGCTATGTAGCTGACTTCTCGGCGACAGTGAACGGACTCGCAGAGGAGCGACACGCTGAAGCCGGGGTGAGTCTTTCCAGGGTTAGCCACCACAAAGAAGAAAATGTCAGCCTTCACAGTCACCCAGAGGAGTGCCACGCAGGTGTGAACATTAATCAAGGTGCGATATTGGAAAATGAAAACTCAGGTGAGCCGGAAATTCCTGCAGTCATGCCCAGCCTCTGGACATTGAGACACAATGCTGTCACCTACAAAGCCCACATTCAAGAACCGTGCACCGGGCGGCATTAACAGCTATGCTCCAGTGTGGGGCATTTGGACTCAGGGCTGTAGGGTGGGCAGCTCTGTAAACATGTTCGTTAACTAGCCACGGCCCACGTGCCCCTTAAAGTGCAAAGACCAGGATGTACTGCGTGTCTTTCTTCTCACGCTTTAAACACCATAAGCAAATTTCTCTGGGCAATAAAGAAAGCGACAGCATGCTTAGCGCATCCATCCTTCAAGCCACCTTACTTCAAAATGAAAGACAGCGGCTATAGTGTCAATGACTAGACTGGGTCTAAAACGTTCCAGAAGGCTCAGCTCAGGAAGTCAGTGAACTGTCTGAGGAACTGAATCCAGAACTATGGGACATGGATCAGGAACTTAGCACCTTTGAGCCTTAGTTTCTTTATCTAGAAGGGGGGAGGTAAGAGATGATCTTTTATGATACCGGTCACCTTTTCTTGGGCCTGTGACATGAACTCTTTATACCACTTTGTACCCCTAGCCCACTGCATGCCAGGACCTGCAACACCCACCTGCCACAATGGCTGTGTTGCAGCGACACCTGCTGGGGCCATCTGGAACTGCACCTGCCTGCCCTGCCTCTCCACCCAGGGTTCCATGTGACCGAGGTCTCTGCTCACTTCCCATCTGTACCTGCCTTCCCAGCCCTAAAGAACTCGAGCAGTGGGTTCCTCGAGCTAGCAAACAACTATTGGATGGATGGATGGCTTTCGGATTGTTTGAAGACATGTAAGTAGCTGACTGTCCAGAGAAAGTCAACGAAGGTAGCTCAGATGGCCTTTAGGAATACAAGCAGATCCAGTGGTTTAAAAACCTGGATGTCTGAGACGTGACTGAGGCGCAGGGACAGCCAGTCGGCCCACAGGGCTTGGAGACTGGTTCTGAGTCTCTGCAGATGTCCCAGCAGGTGGAAGCCACGTGTCACTCACCAGAGGCACGTTCTTTTCCGTGTGTGTGGTTTGCTTCTGCAGTCTAAATCTGTTTATGCCGTTCTCCGAGATTTTGGAGTGCTGGAAGAAAAAGCATCTCATTAGAGTGTTCCTTAAGAACGTTTTGCTGGGGCTGGAGAGCTGGCTCCGAGGTTAAGGGCACTTCTCCCCCCAGAGGACCCGGGTTCTATTCCCAGCACCTGTATCTCACAACTATCTTATTTCCAATTCCAGGGGATCTGATGTACTCTTCTGCCTCTGTGGCCAGTGCACGCACACGGTGCATATACACACATGCAGACAAATGCTTACATACTGAAAACTAGTACATTTTTAAAGGAACACGTCTATCACCACAGAAAAACTATGAGAAAAAACGCTGCTGTCTCATGACTTCCAGGGAAAGTTCTAAACACCCACACTGCACCACTTCACTTAAAGCCCGCAGTGCAGTGGTCCGTGAGTCAGAGCCTCGTAACCAACACTGACCTCAATCCCAGAATGATCCTCACCCTTGGCGACGGAGGCTGTCGCTCTATGCCCTCCCCAGCCCCACGCCCACAGATTCGTTAGTCCCCACAGATGTCCCCTCTGGATGCTTTGTGTGGGAGGCGCTGCTTCACTAATGCTCGTCTCACTAATGACTTAGCAACGACTTCCTTGTGTCCCTCCCCAGACACAACTTGCAAATATTTCCTCCTGTTCTGTGGGACTGCCTCACTTCAGATGGTACCATCTACAACACAAAAGTCTGGAATTCTGACAAAGCCTAACCGACATTTTCCCCCTCTAGTTCTGCTATGCCATGGCTGAGCACCCCCACGACTTCATGTGTTGACGCTGAGCCCCGCTGTGAGACCAGCTGTTCTGTTCATGGTCCCTGTTCACAGAACCCTGAGGACAGCTGAGATCTGTGAGACCCCAGGGGCTCACTCAGAGACTAGAGAATTGAAAAGGAGAAAATTAAAATGCATTTTGGCCTTTTGGCCAAGATCATGTGAAAGGGGAGAATCAGGCAGACTCAGTCCAGACTCAGCCCTACATCACACACACAGACACATAGATACACACATACATATAAACATATACATACACATAAACACAAAGACACACATACATATAAACACACACACACACACCAGCAGCAGCAGAAACAGTAGCTTGGGCCTGGCTTGGTCCCTGTATGTGACAAGAAGCCACTTTTAGGATGTCTCGCTTTCCCAGGTGTGGCCACAGCTGTCCAGAGGGCCAGATGTTCCCACATGGAAGCAAGAGTCCAGGTTCTACTTCATCTAGAGATTGGCCACCTGTGTGACTTGTAGAGGCCTCAGATCACAATGGAAACGTCGAGGGCTCTGTAAGCTCGGACCCTGAAGTCTACACTTCAGCAGGGACATGGCTTTGAAGACACTTTCAAATATCAGCCATAGTTACTCTTCCAGAATACAGTAGTCTCCTTTGCTGACTTTTGTTTTTGGTTTATAAAGTACCGGAATGCCCCTCCCCCCATGGTTACTGAGCCTCAGCAGGAAGGGGCTCTGCTGCCCTCTGCTGCCCACTTCAGACACTGCCCCCAGAGCTGACAGCGTGGGTCTGCTTGCTATCCACGGGAAGGCCCTAACATTTCACAGGGCAGAGGGTGAACAGGGTAAGGGGGCTTTACGCTGATGGGAATGGGGGCCCCTGAGGGACATCAGGCGGGACTGAGGACTTAGGAGCTGGCCAGCAGGAAGGGCTCGGTGGGTGGTGATGCAGGCTGAGAGAATCTTGTCATGTGTGAGGCTGTAGCCAGCCTCTCCCTTCTGGCAGTGTGGGCTGCAGTGAGGGCTGGGTTGTTCTGGAACATAACAGGAGCTCTTACCGTGGGCAGGGTGGAGGAGCACTTGATGTCCTTCGGATCTGAAAGAGCACAGAGAGGAGATGGTGGCTGAGCGCGGCCGCCCACAGCAAATGAACCCACCGGGGGCCCTCAGAAGCCCTTAGGGTGCTGCTGGCAACGGAACCACTCTTCACCTGGGCTCAGGGTCTCTGCTCACAAGATCAGAAATAAAAGAGGGGACTACGCAAATGGACGGGTGTGTTTCACGACCGTAACTTTTATTAGACATGCGTCCTTGAAGGTATGTAATAACTAGAACAGAAGCCTGAGGAAGAAAGACAGCCCAGGTTGGGGAGGGGGCTGGGGAGGCGAGGGCACAGCCCAGCCCCCCTTCCATCCTTCCACTGACGGGCACGCAGCAGCCCACTCCAGGAAGTGCCAGGCCGTGGGCGTGGTGGACACGGCTTTGGATGTGGAGAGAGCTTGACAGTGTGGGAAGTCAGCCTGAGCCAAGGACATGGCGGACCCATGGAGCGGTCAGAGGAAACACGAAAGCGTGAGACTAGCGCCGGAACACTGTCAGAACAGCACTTATAATGGGTGGCGAGCTTCTCTGAGATAAAAGTGAGTGGAGACCAGATGCCTCCCAGGAGAAAACAGAATGCCAGGGTCCCTTTACGGAAGTGAGGGGTCACAAAAAGTTCCTGTCTGTCCGGTCACCTGAAACTCGTCCAGCATCCTGCTGGGCCTCGGGTGGTCACTCAGCTCACCAGGCAAGCATCAGCTTGTCCCTGGACCCTGTGTGCGTTAGAGTGTGTGTGAGAACCGCCCTGGGGCCTGACACAGTATCTGGGGTGCAGGCAGCTGTCCACACGGGATGTTCTCTGCCTGCCACCCCGGGAAATGTCCTGGTTATGACAGATGAAGAAGCAGGGGACAAGAGGAGGGTTCCAATCCCAAAGCAGGGAGCAGGGCCAAGCACAGATCTTTTTGTTAAAGCGTAGGAGGTGGAGGTGCCCTCGGGCATGGCTGGCACAGCACAGGGGAGTTGGCCTTATGGAGAACACAGCCAGGTTCAGACAGAAGCAGCACATACGTGTACGCGTGCGTACACACACACAGACACACACACAGTGGCACACCAGACCCTGGAGACAGCCTTGTATTGTGCAGGGGAGGGGGAGGGGCCGCCAGGGCACCATGACCAGGCCTGTGGCCTGGGTTGGGTATGGAGACAAGCCGCTTCAGTGGCAGAAGCAGGAGCAGTGGGAGGCGGTTGATGAGGCAAACCAGCTGGTGTGACCTGAGCCCACACCAGGAGGGAGGGGTGTGGAAAGACGAGGAAAGACTTGGAGGCGAACAGGACAGTGAGCTCTAAACGGGTGGTAGGTGGCGGCCTTCTTCACACTTGGTGACCACCAAGGGCTGATACATCTATAACACGTAAACAACCTCAGGAGCCGGCGAGGCGTGACACTACAGAGGCCAATCCCGAGACCAGGCTCCGGGTCCCAGCTTTGCTCTCTCTCTGCCCTAGGATTCCCTCCTCCACCAGCAGCAAACCAGCTTCCTGTCCTGAGCCAAGAAGGGCCGGGTAGGCAGAAGGCACAGACCAGCTCGGAGAAATGATCCTGAACACACACATCGGCTCTAGCCAAACTTCCCCGAGGAATGGGCAACGCCGGGTCTGTGGCTTCTAGCCCAGGCAGCAGGCTGCAAGGCTGTCTGCCCCGGGGTGAACGAGGGAAAATCAGTACCGAGGTCATGGCAGTTAACAGGCAAGGGGGACAGTAGGTCACCCTGGGGTGGGGCACAGGGTCCAAGGAGCCTGGGGGACAGTCCTCTCAGTGTCATCCCGTCCATCAATAGCAGGAGTTGGGGCTTGTAAGAAGGAGGCGGCTCTGGGTTGGTAATGAAAAGGCGAAAACAGAGGTCTATTGCTCTGGATAATTCTGTCCTCAGTGGGGACAATGCCCTGTCCCTGCCCGAGCTGAATGGCAACATCTAGCCCATCTGGTTGCTGCCACACCCTCTGTGTTTCCTCCCATCCCCCCCATCCAGAAGAGGCTTTCCCACCGGTTAAAGAAGAGAACGAGCTCCCAGGGGACCCTACGCTTGGGAAAGGGCAGACACAGGGCCCGGAGCCTTTGGGAGGAGGGATGGTCACTCTCCGGGTTTCTGGTATAAGATGAACGCCTGGGGGAGGGGAGGGGACAAGGCCCAGGAAGGCAGGTGGCACAATGGCCTTTCCAGGAACCTCAGTAACTTGCCAGCTTAGTACGGCAGCCACAAGGCCCCGCCCCCTCTCCCCCAGTGCACTGGCTGGGGCCTGCCTGCCAGCCACCTCCTGGGACTCGGGAGGACACTGGGAAATGGGGGCAAGGCAGTGGCCCACACCGCCCATTCCGCCCATAGACTGCACATCCGAGTCCCAGGTCTGTATGTTCGTTTCCATCCTCACCTACCCGGAGGGCTGGCCAAGAGGGCCACACCTCCCTAGCTTGGCAAGATGGAGGTCACTGAAAAACTAACAGACTGGCTTGAGCAGTGGGGTGGGGGTGAGAGGGGGGAGACGTGAGGGCCGAACCCACTGAACCACGCTTATTTCTTGGGGGAGGGCAGTGGGGAAGCTGGGGGCGGGGCCAAGGTCAGTGAGCTGGGGGGGGGGAGAGACTGGAGATGAGGGCAGAGGCTGGGGACCACCCCGACACACCAGAGTCACGTGCTTTCATCTTCCTTCAAGCAAAGATCCGAGAACTAAATGGCCAGGCTACCTTATGAGACCAGGGCCGGGGCGAGGATCAGAATGGCCCGGCTTCTCAGACCTTTCACTTGAGGGTTCTTTGCTTTAAATGCTACTTCCAGTATTTGTTAAGTCAGAAGTCCAGGGCTGACTGGAATAGAACATGGGTTTCATTTTCCTACAGACACTTTACCTAATAACATATATGGCTTTAAGTCACACCACGGTTTTATGACATTTGCCGGAGACGCAGCTTATCGGAAAAAGTACACAAGCTGGAAAAGTCCGTGCCCGCATGTGGGGGTGGCTGGGGCGAGCAGGTGCAGCCGCGAGGGTTGGGCCTGTGCCCTCAGGTGAATGTGTGAGGGGGACCTGAGATACTCGGGGCTGAGGGAAGGATGGGGACAGGAAGATGAGGGGGAAGGGATTTCCACAGGGGTCACTCAGGAAACTGGGAGAGAGTGAAAGACTGAGCAAGACTAGGAGAGCAGAGGCTGCTGGGAAAGCCTGTACTCGGGGATGGCCGGGGTGAGTATGGGCACCCACAGCGCCACAGACCACACTAACTTACCCCGAAGACTAAAGCCATCCCCGAGGCTGGGTACTTACGTTCAATGAGAAAGAGGAAGCACACTATCCCCATGGCTGCCACGATGGCCCCGGGCACGACGAATGACAGTCCCCAGCATGTGGACACCCAGTAGCCGGCAATCAGGGATCCCAGAATGTTGCCCACGGAGGTGTGGGAGTTCCAGATGCCCATGATCAGGCCTCGCCTACAACACAGCGTAAGGGGACAGAGAGTCGCACAGTGGCATCAAAAACCGGTCTGTATGCAAAACAGGAGCAAGAGCTTCAGTGGCAGACACGAGGGCTGGGTCAGGGGGCCAGCATGGCCCCGCAGAGGCTCCGTCTGCGGCCGCCCCTTGGAGAACCGTGTTTTCATTCTGCTCAGGCAGCATCAAGCACGGGGTCCATCTTTGCACAGGGATACTCAGGTCTATGATTCAAAGAGGAAGGGGCTTTTCCTACAATTCTTGGAAGGCTCAGGATTTAAATCTGTGCCTCCGCAAACACGGTAGTTGGTTGACTATCATGGTAACGGAAGCTTCACAGTGGTACGCACGCCAAGTAACTAAAACAAGCTTTCTAAATCGGGCTTCCGAGTCCCTCTCCCGTTTTAGCTCCTCCATCTTGGGTGGCGTCTCTATGGTTACTTAGCCCCCGGGCTAAGCTAGGCAGGGACTACAAGTGACCACACTGTAGAGGGATCGCCAGAGCCGGGCCAGGCCTGCTAATTATAGACTGGGTGACTTCTGCCAGAAGGGCTCAAACTCCACAGCTGGATGCAGACTCCAATTTAAGAGGCCGGGGGAAGGGAACCAGACTCTGTCCTACAGGTGTGAGGGAAGCTGAAGCCAGAGGCCACACAGATCTTAGGTGTGGAGTCCAGGTCAAACTACCTGCCTGAGAGACCAGGGGGAAGGCTGTGCTCTGAAAGTACATAGGTTCCGGGTTCTGAAGGTTATAGTCCCATGGGAACTGTAGAGCCCCTTCTTAGAGGTTTCAATACATTGCTTCAAGGGAGAGGCTCATCAATGTTCCCGAACAAGGCTTAAAGAAAACTTGAAAACAATGTGGTCTAGTTTTTTTTTTTTTATCAGAATAAAAGAAAAAAAAAGTTATTGAAGAGGAGGCCATTTTTTTTCCTTTTTAGGTTTTTGAGACAGGGTTTCTCTTAATAGCTTTGGAGCCTGCCCTGGAACTCACTCTTGTAAATCAGGCTGGTCTTGAAATTACAAAGATCCACTTTTCCTCACCTTCCTTTTCCAAACCAGTTGCTGAGGCAGGTGACGACGCTGGGCCAGCCTGTGGTCTGCACCAGCCCGTTAATGATCTGTAGGTAAGGGAAGAGGTTCACTGACTGTCAGGTACTTTATGTCCATCTCAACCACCAAAGGTGGGAAGTAAGTTTTATATTTATACATGGCTTAAACTATGAAATTTAAAATATGCAAGTAGCTCATATACATAAACTATGTAGAAACACAGTATATTATAAAGTATATATAAGCCAGGAAAATGGTGTATGGCTGTCATCCTAGTTGCTAAGGAGGCTGACACAGGAGGACTGTTGAAGAGGGGAGTTTAGACTGGGTAACACAAAGACCCCGTTTCAAAAAATAACACACACACACACACACACACACACACACACACACACACACACACGAAAAGTAAATTAAAAAGCCAACCCAAGTTTTTCATGGTGACTCAAAAACCTTTAACCCCAGTACTCAGGATGAATGCTATGAGTTTGAGACCAGCCTGGGCTACATATAAAACTTTGCCTAAAAAAAAGAAAAAGAAAAAGAAAGCCAACCAAGCCAGGACACTCAGCCAGGACCCCTTTGACAGATCAGCCTCAAACATTCCAGACTCCTTGCAATCTAAATAGTCTGTAGAGACAAGAACTTTTCTCTTTACAGACTGGTTTATACACTGCCACAAATTCAGCCTAGAAATGGCCTGTCTTCCTGACTGCCCACAAAGAAGATTCCTTCTCAGAAGTCAACGCCTCCCTGTCCCAGTTCTGGCGTGCGTTCCCACCCTCCCCAAGAAGGTGTTGGACCGGCATTTAACAAAGGGACCAGTACCGGGAGAGTTCTGGTGCCGTCAGAATTGGGGCAAAAACCCGGCCCAGTGCAGGCTGTCTCACTGGACTGTGGGTCCTCCGGGAGGTAAGCAGAGAGCAGCATGCCCACCTGCTGCTGCTCCTGGATGGACAGCTCCGCCTTGGCTAGGGGAGAATGCTGGGACTCTGGGGACTTGCTGTCCTTCCCTTCTAGTTCCGTATGCCATTACAGTCCGAGGCTTCTGCATCCAAGGAGTCAAAGAGGAAGGATCAAATGCAATGTTGGGCTGCATCCATACTGAACGGTCAATGTTCTCTAGAGAGTGTAGCAGCTCGAGACACAGCGCTCACACTGTGTCAGGTATTATAACCGAGAGACAAATAATCCACCGGAAGATGCGCACTGGATCTGTGCCAGCCCTACGCCACTTAATGCACGGGACTTGAGCAGCCGTGGGCTTTGCTAACACCGGAGTCCTAGAACTGATTCCTCAAGGATGCCAGGGGTGACTACGTGCAGGCAGGAACAGGGCACGCTTGTAATAAAGCGGCTACACTTTTATCAGGCTCTATGGCGTGGTCGTGAGAAGCAAAATTAGAGCAGAGCGGCTTTGGTGTTTCTATTGCACCTCCCCACCCTGGGCCATCTGGAGAAGTTGGGCAACCCCATTTCCTTTGCTAGTCAATATTTACCCACGGGGCTGCGGGAGAGGACACAAAGGCTGGGATCTCAAGGAGGGTGAGCTGGGCCCCCGGCCCCACCCCTGCACCTTCAGCTCCTCTGTTTTGTTCCAGGCCCTACAGTGAAGGTCTCATAGCTGTGCTCTGCTGGCAGCGACTCCTACGCCCCCCAGGGCCACTTCCAAGTGATCATTAAGTCTTCACACCTCATTAGCCTACCAGGCTGACAGCTCCTGAAACAGGAAGTAGCCATCCAGGTGCCAAGGGAGGAGGGCCTTCCCATGCCAGCCGGTGGAGACTTGACGGTGGAGGGGCGCTGTTCCGCTCCTCACCAGCATCTGCCACCAGCTTTCTTAGCAGAGGTGGGCTTTGGACCTGAACCGTGCCTTGTCTCACAGTGAGCCTAGGTCAGGCCCTTACCTGGGTCACCACGTAGAATCCCAAACTGTGTATGTTATAGAAGTAGCCCAAGCCGAAGAGGGCTGTGAAGGCGCCGCTGGCCAGCATCCCAAAAGTCAGGTAATACCTAATGGGCAGGCGTTCCCCTATTATGCCGCTGAGGGAACAAGGAAAGAGACAGGCATGAGGAAACAGCACACAGCACACTGCCAACAGCCCAGCCACGTCTCCCGGATGTCCTGTGCCATTCTCTAGACCTCTGAGCCCCACCATTTCCAGGGAGACCGAACAGGAATGTTTCTCCGTAGAGCTTGCTCACTCACTCCCATGGGACCCCTTAGACCCATTTCTCATAAAAGTCACCAGCCGTCAGACAATAAAACACACGCCGTGACTCACACCAACACTGCCCCGCAAAACAGGCCTTGCCCTGCTCGTTAAGTCTCCTTTTATATCAAAAAAAAAAAAAAAAAACACGCAGTCGGTGTACAGAGCTATTTAAAATGCCAACCGTTAAGCTGCAAAAGATGACTTGAAAAGGGGACCGCTGTGACCCTGAGCAGGCTGCCCGCTCAGTGAGCGGTAACCAAGGAACCTGTGTGAACATGCCCGTTGGGTGGGTCGGTGAGGGCCACACTCCCCTGCCTGGCCAACCACTTCCTGCCACAGCCGCTGCTGCCTGCCTGAAAGACACGCTTTCTCATTCGGTGCATAAGGCCCATTAGGGGGAGCAGAGGCCGAACGCTAACAGCAGCAGAGAGGCTCAGTGAGCTGACTTATATAGAGGCTCAGTGAGCTGACTTATATAGAGGCTCAGTGAGCTGGCTCATTTGCAGTTTTACCTTCCTGGGCCGTGTGAGGTCAGGCCAGCTGTGGAACTGGAGTGGTGACGAGCATGGCAAGGCTACGGTTTCTGCTACAGGGCAGACACGGACGGGTTGCTACCTATCACCACGACACCATGCTCTACCACTTGACCAACAACATCACCAAGGACACGCACGTGTCATTTCAGCAGATGGTCTTTCAAAACTCCATGGGGGCTAGAGAGATGGGTCATTGGTTAGCAGCACTGTGTTCTTCTGGAAGACCTGAGATGTGTTTTCCAGTACCCGTGTCAGGCAGCTCACAACTCCAGCTCCAGGGGATCAGACACCCTCTTCTGGCCTCCATGGACACGCACTCGCACACGCATACACACACTAGCACACACACACCTTTAGAAAATCCACAAGCCACACTTCCTTCCACATAACCAGTTACTCCAGGACTCCAACAAGCAGAGTATGTGGGCAGACGCCTGCCTTTGAGCAGCACCCTAGGGTAAGCGCCATTGTTCCCACATCACCCCCAGAACCTGCTTACCAGCAAGCTGCCCTTCTGTGCTCACTAAACAGGAAAGATCTACCTAGAACTACACAAGTGACCTTTGACCACTAAAACAGGAGTGAGGCACAACTTAATCACAGAGACTGGAGAGCATTCTAGAGTTAAGGATGCTCTCTGCTCCACCTTGCTCGCTTCAGGGATTAGGAGACATTTCAGAGGCTGCTAACCTGCCTAGGCACAGGACAAGGGGATGAATCATATGGGATCCCAAGAGGATCTGCCACTGGCCACCACTGAGAAGTGTCCTCTAGTATGGCCACCTGGGGACACCTAGCACCTCCTTTCTGTTTGTGAGATTTAAGGAACAATGCTTAAATGTCATATCTGATTCACAGAGGACTCACCCACGCTGCACCTGCTGATCCTGCCAGGCAGGACCTGGGTGCACCCATCTCCCATGTTTTCAATCCATCTACTGAGTCACATGACACCTACTGTCAAGACCTTAGTGACAACTGCATAATGGTCTGAGAGCTGTCATGACTTCCTGTCATGGCACAAAGCCCATCTGTAAAGTGGCCTGTGTCCATGCCTCTGAGATTTCTGTATGGACTTCACATCCAACAGAACCCTGCTTTAATAAACTCACTGATGAGCTGCATGAGAAACTGCCTTTGCCTATTTACTAAGCTAGGTTTCCTGGGCCGGACAGACATCTTTGGAGTGAGGACTGTGCTACGTCCTAGGGTGTTTAGCAGAAGCCCCCATCCTTGTCCACTGGATGATGCTAGATTCCTCTCCTTTAGCTGTGACAGCTGCAGATGTTCCCAGGTACCACTGTATTCTCTAGGGTATCAAAGTGGCCAAGTTGAAGTACCACTTTCTAGCAACTGAGGAACAGCGTGTGCGCTGCGCCCCCCCCCCCACTACAGAGTATTTATGTGCGGTAAGACAGGCCAGGAGCATTCGCCCTTGGGAGGCCGTGTGGCTGGCAGACACTAGGTCCACACCTTTGCTCCTTGGCCAGGCGTAACTCCTACCCTGGCACTTGAGGGTCCTGTACCACACATTCTCTTATACACACAAGCTGAGTATCTCGTGCCATTTGCATCCGACAAAGGGGGTGGTACTCCGGCATGAATGGCTTGTTCATAAGTCACCTACCGCAGGGGTCCCTGGGCTGGCAAGGCCCCTGGGTCTTGATTCCATGTGTTGGGAGGCTCTCAGAGAAGCAGTTAAACACTTACAGGGATTCCCCGAGACTCCCAGGCTCGGGGTGTCTAAATGAAGTCTCTTGGGATGAAGGCTGTTAGTCTCTATGATACTTTTCCTTAATTTTTCCCCCCAATTCTGGGGCTTGACCCCTGGCTCCCTTGCATGCTGTGTATGCTAGGCAGACACCCTACCACCAAGCGATCTCTCTGACAATCTCCCTAACCCTTTTACAATGTTATTCTAAAATACAGCGGGATGACAACAACTAGTTTTTAACCAGCCACTCGTTTGCTCTCTGACCCCGAGGACATCTGCCACCTCCTAGGTCCGTCCAATGTCAGGAAAGAACACTGTCTGCACTGAAGGGCCCAGAAGACTGGAAGGGGCTGGAGCACGGGTGTCCCTACCTCAGGTACATCCCAATGGCATAGGCGCACAGGAAGGAGTAATCCAGGGCTCCAAGTAGCTGCTGGTAGTTGTTCTTATCTGTGTGGGTTGAAGAATCAACAGAAGGGCTCAGAATTATTTAGTACGTTCTAGAGTTGCACTGTAAAGACAAAACCTATATTCTGCAAGTCCCTTAGAAAGGGAGGCCTTCTAATTCCAAAAACACACGGCAGCCCAGCTGCTGGCCAGCTTCTCATGGAAGAAAAGAAAGCTACTTCTTTTTCCAGTCATCCTTGGCTAGATGCAAACCTCACTGGCTGTGGTGGGTTTGACTTTTGCATTTCAGCGTCACCTGGCTGGCCTGTGGCACCTGTCATCAGATTTTGCTCGGCAAGCTGTAACCTCCAAGTGTGACAGGTACACACTGCGGGCTATCTTCTCGAGGCTTCCCAGCACAGACATGCTTACTTAGGGGGTGGCCCCTCTGCATGTAGGCATCAAAGGTCTGGTGGTTGCCAAGTAGTGTTTTCTAAGGGACAGTTGTCACTGAAACACACTTCCACTTGAGGTTAGCGGCACTGTCCCGAGACCAGCCAGGCTGTAGGAACCCCAATGGATGGCTGTCAAGATCCCTGGGCAACAGACCATTTGACCAAACTCACCGAAGGGGGCCCAGCCACAGTCGGTCTCGTTGTCCGGGAGCCAGTGGGTGGGGCCATGCCTGGTACTGATGCTCGGGCCGCCGAACCTGGGCTCAGGCTCATCCCCTGCAGTGCACTGCTTATGGAGCTCGCCCTACAGCAGACAGGGATGGTGGGAGAGGAAAAGAGTTTACTCGGGATGCCTCACCAGGAAAAGTGGCTTCCCCTCCTCACAGGACAATGGCTTTTTGAGAAGGAGGAGGCCTCTGGCAGGCGTATGAGGCCCACAGGAGTCCCTGCTGCAGGCAGTAACTCCAGTTCACGCCCACAGCCAACCCAAGCACCACCAGCCTCTAGAGACAGCATCAAGCAAGAGAGCACCAAGGTGAGGGCCAACTGCCAGTCTTCCTTGATGGTCTGTCCCTGGGGAAGGAAAGGGTTAAGTGCGAGATCCTGACAACTGAATACTGAGGGATGTGTCCGTTGAGAAACAGTTTATGTCAAAGCAGTGTCCTTTGCAAACATTTACTGGATTCTCTTTCAACTCACATACTCTTACACACACACACACACACACACACACACACACACACACACACACACACACCACACACATACCACATACAGAGAGAGAAGAACTGACCAGTCAAAAGAGTGTGTCAGGGTTGGTGAAATGGTCCAGCAGGCAAGAGTGCTTGCTACCAAGCCTGAGGACCTGAGTTCAATCCCCAGGACCCAGGTAGAAGGAGACAGCCAACTCCTGCAGGACATCTTTTGACCTCCCAAAATATATGCACCTTCCCCACATATAAGTAAATGTGCGGTGGTGGCAGGTGGATCTCTGTGAGTTTGAGGCCAGCCTGGTCTACAGAGTGAGTTCCTGGATAGCCAGAGCTGTTACACAGAGAAACCCTGTCTTAAAAAAACCAAAAAGGACAGTGGATCCTAGCTATGGATACCCTAACTTTTTACTCAAAAGGCTCCCCGGGAATCTTTGTGTCAGCAGCTTGACTTTGATAATTCCTGTCAGCAGTCACGTATTTCATTTACTTGTCACAATTTTCCCAAACTTTCACCCACGGAATGAGTTCCTGTACTTTGTTTTCTCTTTGGGTTAGTATAAGCAATGTTGCCATAAAGAAATTTACACTAGCTGGGTGTGGTGGGACACGCTGAAACACACTACTCAGATGTCCGAGCAGGGTTGCTACGAGTTTTCAAGGCCAGCCTGGGTTACACAGTAAAACCCTGTCTCAAAAATAAACACATAAAAATACATTTTAAAAAGGGTTTCCGAGGGCATTGGGCTGTATGTGATTTCATGTACTTCTGAGCTGTGGTGAAGTGGGTTATTATGGTGGGGGGGCTGGGCAGGATATGTGACACACCCTCAACTGATCCATTTCCTCCAGGTAGACCTACATGCAGGATTTGGCCACCCCAATGTTCTATTCCCACCTGCATCTAGCAGTGGTTGATTCATTGACCGGTCAGAGCCTGTGTGACCTGTTGGGATCCTCTCAACTTCTGGGCAACAAGTTGACAAGACGACGCACCCAGGCAGCAGCTAAAGACTGTCAGTGCCTCATGCTTTCTATTCTATTCCGAGTGTGCCTGTTCTCAGGCAACGGTCTAATGCTTTAGTTACTTTGAAATACATTAATTTTTATATCTTTATTAAAATGTTATCTTTTATACTTTCCCTGGTGACTCTCTCTCTCTCTCTCTCTCTCTCTCTCTCTCTCTCTCTCTCTCTCTCTCTCTCTCTCTCTAGGATCTCACTGTGTAGCTCTGGCTAGCCTAGCACTCACTATGTAGACCAGGCTAACCTCAAACTCAGAGATCTTATCTCTGCCTTCTGAGAACTGGGATTAAAGGTGTGCACCAACACACCCAGCTTTTGGAGATTTCTTTTCTTTTTTTTTTTTTTTAATTTGCACTGGTGTTTTGCCTGCATGTGTGCCTGTGTGAGGGTGTCAGATCTTGGAGTTAGAGACATTTGTGAGCTGCCGTGTGGGTGCTGGGAGTTGAACCTGGGTCCTCTGGAAGAGCAGTCGGCGCTCTTACCTACTGAGCCATCTCTCCAGCCTGGTGGTTCATTCTTAAGCAACATCTCTTCATATAAACTTTAGGATTATTTGATTCAATTAAAAATTGGCTGGGTATGACAGCGCAGGCGTTTAATCCCAGCACTTGAGGCAGAGGCAGAGGCAGAGGCAGAGGCAGAGGCAGAGGCAGGCGGATCTGTGAGTTGGAGGCCAGTATGCTCTACTTGGTGAATTCCAGGCCAGCCAGGGGCTCACCCTGAGGCCTTGTCTATAAAGGACATCTCTCTCAGGTTTTCCCCATGACCACAGGAAGCACTGGAACTTTGTTTGTTTGTTTGGATACAGGGTTTCTCTGTATAGCTTTGTAGACCAGGCTGGCCTCCAACTCATAGAGAGTCTCCTTCCTGCCTCTGCCTCCCGAGCGGTTATTAAAAGCGCGAGCTACCAGCACTGCCCAGCTTTTAGGAAGCACTGGAACTTTTCATAAAGCAGCTTTCCTCAACACAGACTCTTTCAGCTTGTGTTTTCTGAATACCCTGGGGTTTTCATCATTCTCAATTCTGTGCACAGAGGACTGTCTACACACACTCCGGGGGGCCCCGTAAAAACAATCCTTTGGGAAACCCTCTGTTTACAGGTTCTGTTCTGGCCCAGCCTGGAGGGAAGTCTCCCAAAGTTCCCCTCCCTGGAGACACAGACCCCATCTGTCTATCAGCCAGGGAAGACATCTGCCTCAAATAGAGATGCCTGGCTACAGGTGGAGGATCACGGGAAGGAACAACGTTGTCCTTCCAGCCCTAGGTTTACCACTGTGTTTTTAAAGGCACATTTTTTTTTAAATCGGAGAAAAATAAAAGTAATCAGTGATGACTCAGGGCAAGTGTAACCCCGATTGACCCAGCATCACTTGACAAGTGAGTCATGATCACTGGCGAATCGCCCTGAGGCTCATTCTCAGCCTCAGGGTCCATGTCCAGTAAGCAAATGTATTTCTAGTTTTGTTTATAACCTTCTGGGAAACACAGACTGCAGATGGTGACTCATGGGATCCCTGGTAGAATCATTCCTGTCCCTGGTGCCATTCGTGTCATTTATAGTGGGAGCTAAAGCAAGTGCATGCTTCCCAAGGCTCTGGGAAATCCAAATCAAATGTGGAGACAGTCTTGTCCGTATCAAGCTGCAAAGCAGCCTGCAGGACTCAGCAGCAGGCTAACCCGTGCACAGGTGCACTGGAAACCCTGGTGTCAAAGGGAACCACACCAGATGCTGACCATATGCAGGTTATTAACTGTCTTGGCGACTCCGGGCCAGCCCTGTCAAGAGCAGAGACCCGGGGCTCGAGAGATGGCTCAGCAATTAAGAGCACAGGCTGTTCTTGCACAGAACTCTGGCTTGGCTACCAGCACCCACATGGTGGCTCACAATTGTTCATAAATCCAGTTTCAGGGTATCTGGAATCCTCTTCTGACCTCTGAGGGCACCAGGCATGCATACACTCACACACATAAATAAAAATAAATAAATCTTAAAGAGATAATAAGAGGATGAATGTAGAAGACACTACTAACACGAGTTCACCTGACTCCAGATGACACCCCCAGGGCTGCTGTGAGGTCCATCTTAGACAGTAATCACCATAGAACACTGGTTATGCAATTGTGGTTGAAACTAAAACACCTCCTCAAGGAACCCAGAGGCTCCAATGGTGACTTTTGCACACCTAATGCAAGGAGAGTGTGAGGTTGGATCATGGTTTCACACCCCTTCCTGGCAAAACCCTCGTGCTTATCAGGTAGAGTCCAAGGGTCAGGTCATGCCCCAGTGACTCCCTACTGGTCAGTCCCATCTCACTCACCACACCTGTCCCACAGGCAAGTGACTCTGTGGTGACACTCCACCTTCAACGGGGTACCGGAGGTGGTCCCTCCCCCACCATGCAGGCCCAGCCTTTCTGCCTGAGTCCTGGAAGGCCCAGCGAGGCTCCCTGACTGTTTGATTCCAGGTCTTCAGCGCTCATCCAGGCCCCTGCCGTTTGCCTTCTGTGCTTTGCCTCTGTCTGAAGCCATGCGTGAATTTCTCTAAGCAGGAAGAGTCACAGAGACAGCATTCAAACGTCCAGGACCGGTTACTGGTGCCCACGTCAGAGCCCTTGTCACATGTCACTCATGGGAGCTTTTAATGCCCCTGGGCTACTTTCCTACCAGCAGGAAACCTCTCTTAAAGGTCTCCGAGTGTTTTGTTTCCATGGCAAACTCCTGGCTACCAGGAGCCAAGGAAAAGCTTTAGAACCTTCTTAGTAAACGGGTTAGCTGGAGGAGGCACACAGGCCTCCAGAGGCAGCAGCCCCCTGTGCCTGGTTTCCGGTGCTGGGAGGCGGGGTTTGATGGCGACTAGCCCTGCTCAGCTGGGAAGGTGACAACACCAGTGTCCTGGACCAGGTTCCTACTGGCAAGTGGTTAACAGAGCCATAAATAGGCCAATCTTGGCACAGGGCAGCAGTCCTGTTTCTTTTACAGTAGCCAAACACTATTCACTCCTGCGACTGCACCGTAATTAAAGCTGGGTGAGAAAACATACCTGTTTCCTTCCTAGTTCTGACGTTAAAACAGAGGACATGATGTCCAGTGAGACACCTGTCCCCAGCCCTTCCCCTGCTCTCAGGTGTACACTCTGAGTGTGAACCTCAGAGACTGCCCCAGAACCAGGAAAGGGTTCAAACTGCACCAAGAGTTGAAGCCACTTGGGGAAGCATTTAAGAAAGGAAAACCCAGACAACATAAATATTTAATTAAGTTTGGGAATTCTGGAACTGCAGTCTGATGGAGACGGATGTGTCTCTGAGAGAACAAAGCACGAAACACTGTAAAGATCTGAACTTCTGAAAAAGGAAAATATGGTAAAAGGTCCTAAAAGGAAGATAGTAGAATAACCAGTCTCTAGCAATCTCTTGGTCCCCAATCCTTCTGCCCTCCGGTTCCTGGAGTCAGCAGTCTTCGGGCAGGCTATGCGTTAGCCGTGTGTGTGTGTGTGTGTGTGTGTGTGTGTGTGTGTGTGTGTGTGTGTGTGTGTGTGTGTGTGACGATCTCTTACCTTCACTATGCTGATAGGCTTTCGGGACAAGTGGAAGCTTGCGTACAGCAGGAATGTCAGCATGAAAATGAAGGCGCGGTACCTGGAACACATGCAGTTTACAGGGCATGAGAGGCGTCACGCTGCGTCGTCTGTGTGTCAGTCACACACGGACCCCACTTACAATCTCAGGACATTAGAAACACTGCTAGCCCTGACTGTCCAAACCGAGACCACTGAAGCCCTGCAGGAGCTGGGGGAAGCCAACGTCTTCTGCCCCATCCTCCCTTGCAACACTGTCCCAAGAACAAATACTTCTCTAACGGATTCCACTTGGAGGTCCTGTAATTCAAGGCATGTTTCACACCAGTCTACGCAGGAATAGTGTCAGCCCCCACGGGCTGAGGGTTCTATGCCACACACAGCCCCCACCTCTGATGACAAGTAATAAACTGTGGCTCCTACAGGCCCTGTCGCTGGCCCCAGAGAAACCCTTTCTTGTGTTTGCCACTTACTTACTACAAAGCCCTGGGGGCCAGCCAGCTTGACAAGAGTGAAGACATGCTGAAGAGAAACATGTTTCCCCGTCTCTGACTACAAGACTCTTGAAACCACGAACCCCAAGAAGTGAGAGTCTCCCTAGGATGCCCACGACTGGAGAAGAGAAGGGCTGATGTCTTGGCCAGCCAGAGATCTGCAGAGAGAGGTGGTTCCCTGAACGAAAGCACTTGCTATCCAGCCTGACACCCTGAATCCGAACCCAGAACCTACAGATGGGAAGGAGAAACTCCATCCCTGCTGTACTCTGACCTTCCACAATTCACCACGACCCATGCACCCCTGCAGCCACATACACGTAAGCAAAATGAATAAACAGATTTTTTAAAAATTAGAGGCCAAAACAAACATTTCCAGACTCAAAAGAAGAGTGCATTTGAGGTAGAGAAAGCAGGTGGTGGCTCTGTGGGGAGGAGCCGAATCCACTTGTAGAAACTAGCTGCGGAATAGGGAATTGTCTGAGCTCTCTTCTCCCTGGGGAAGCCTGAGTGGAAAGTCCACAGGACACTCCGTCCTGGCCTACAAGGTGACCAGAAGAGAGCAAACCTAGGAAATGCAGACAGTTCATCCCAGCACTCAGGAGACAGAGCCGGGCCTGCCCCACAGGGGGTGTGAGTTGTCTCCACATCTCCTAAAGCCTGGGGCAGAACTTTCTTTGGCTGAAGCTGCTGTATAGCCCATCCCCTGAGTCTGAGGCTGGTTAGGATAGTCACCCACTGACCTCCAGCTCCCCCATATCCAGCTCCCAGACAGGCTTCTCCCCAGTTACTTTCTTCCAGTGCTCAGGGCAGGGGGAGAGGGGGGCATGGGTTTCTCAGAGCCTCTCAGTTTGACTCAGGAGCCTGGGCTATCTTCCAGTGGCCACTCAGGGCTGCCAGCTGAGGCTTTAGGAGTAGAGGGGGCGGGGATGGCTCAGTGGCCTCAGGCTCAGTCTGTCTACTCCGAGAGGGAATTGAAACTCTCCTATTGTGATGATAAGGGCTGAGGAGGGCCCGGCCCTGACATTCTACATTCCTTGGTCTCACTAGGCTTCAGTCTAGGGGACAGGGGAATGAAGTGGTGAGGTGTGGGTAGCCTTGGGCCCCACTCTCCACCAGGCCCTTCTCCAGGTGGCTTGGGGAAGGTGGTATGGCGGGTGCAGGCAAAGGGGCTCTTCACGACAGCCCCTCACATGGGCTGGAGAAGCCATAAAGGGAGCCTTCGGAAAGAGAGAGCCTGATAGGAGGCAGGGCTCACAAGCCTCCTGCAGTGGGGTTGGAGTCAAAGGTCAATAAAGACCAGGATTTCCCTGAGGCAGAAAAGGAAGCCTTTATCTACAAGTGCCGGGCGCAGCCTGCTTCCTCCATTTCCAAAGTCACCCTTCTTCCTTTGGCCTCAGCTTCCTAGAGGATTCGGGGTGAGGGAGAGGCAGCAGCTGCAGAGTGCCTTTCGCCTTCCAGGGGGGTCTGCAGTGGCTCTCAAGCTACTCAAGCTAGTGGCCGTCCTCCCTGCTTGGCCTCCGGGAGAGGCGGGTCCTGTGCTTTCACGGAACCGCAATCCTGGTCGTTGCGACTGAGGTCCCTCAGGGTCCCCCTGGATCCCTTGTTCTATTTGGGAGCTTTATCACCAGCCTCCTCCCCAAGCGGAACCATTCTGCAGGGACAGGAGCAGGGGTTCTGAACCTCAGTGTATTCAGAAATGATGTCCTGGAGGTGTCACGAGTTAGCAGGAGGTCTTGTCAGGCTAGGATTGCCCTAAACCAAGGACTGGTGTCCTCCTCAGAAAAGAAGACAGATGCTGGGAGTGGTGGGACATCAGACACTCAACATAAAAGGGCGGAGGAGCTGAGGACTAGTCTCAGTGCCCGGGGTGCTGGTCTAGCACTCACGAGGTCCTGGGTCCGATCCCAGCAGCACGGAAATAAAACAAAAGGAGAAAAGGCTAAGTTTTTCCTTCCTGACAGGAGTCCAAATGCTGTCTGTGAGGTCACCACCAAAGCACAGGACTCTTGAGGTCTCCAGGTAATGGCAGCCATCACGCAACAGCTGCGAGAAAGCCTGATACCTGTTGTTAAAATGTCTAAGTTTACCCAGTAACGAGACACAAGCCGTGCATCCTGCCAGGTGACAGGGCAGGGCAGCGTAATGCCTCAACCTTTCACTACCTGTGCTCCATAATGAAATATGGGTGAGAAAGCCACCCAGTGCCCCCTGTCACTCTGCCCCATATGTCACCACTCCAGACCTTACCACTGATCCCTGGAGAAGGAGGTGATGAAGCGGATGCCAACAGGAAGCTGAGCCATTTACGTCGCCCCTGACCTCAGAGCTCCAGTCCCCAGAACTCAGACGCTCCCGGAAACAGGTTAAGGTTGTGCTTTTGGACAGCCGTGCAGTTCACACAGTCTGGAAAGCAGCAGCAGATGGGTCCTACCGGGTCCTGTCCCCTCTTGCTCCCATCAGGGTCGGCCCAGCTCTAGGGGAGAAAGAGAGGCAATTGAGAATCTGCGTCCTGATGATAGCACCTAGGAGACGCTGGCAGGCAGAAGTCGTCGTTCCTCAGATGGGAAGATGCCACCCCCCCCCCCCCCCGACTGATCAAAGGCACACTCTGGTACCACAGGAAGCTCCTGCCACGGATACCCCAGGGAGGATTGCTCAAACCTGGTTCACATGACGCTCTGTGATTCCTGAAGAGAAGTGGGCACTCATCTCTGCCTTTGGGGCTTCCAGACATTGGCCAGTCTGCCCCAAAGCATATATCGATTATCAGAGCATGAGGTGGGGGTGGGCCCTGGACTTGTTGGCTCCATTACTACTCACTAGGCCTCCTGTGAGCCTCAGCAAGAGAGGATTGTGGGCTTGGGCGAAAAGGCAGAAGGGATCACTCATCAGTCACTTGGGCTGTGGGTCTGCGATTGAGTCTGCCACACCTAACACGGAGGGGATGGACCACACCTAACACGGAGGGGATGGATGTCCCCTCTGCCGCCGGGGTTCCCTCTCCTGTGCTCACACTGTTAGCTTGGGAAAATAAGCTTGTTCTGGAGGCTGGGCTGAAGACGGCCAGTGTTGGGAGGGGCAGAACAAAGGGGTCCAGTGCTGGCTGAGGTGGGTGGGTCTCCTGAGCCCCACACCACCCTCAGGGCACGTATTCCAAAGTGGAATCTACTTTCCCACCTATGAGCTTTCACCAGACAAATACCCTGGGCTGGGGGTGTAGCTCAGGAGTGGAGTAGCAGGGCAGAGGCTTTGGGTACCAAACCCCACAGTTCACGTGCACACGATCAACAACTCCGGAGAGAGAGGTTAGCCCAGAAACCAGTCTCAAGGAGGTGCAGAGGCTCTTTTGGCCCCAGACAGGAGAGCTCCACCTTCCCCAGGCCACCACAGGGCCTTAGCAAGTGTCACTCATTCCTGACCCGACACCGACCTGCAGTGAGTAAGTCCAGGCCACTAGCCAGTTTGCTGCTCCCTTAACGTCTCTAGCTAAAAAATGAGGGCGATGGCCTAATGACATCAACATTGTTATACAAAGACATGATCTCAGGAAGGCCTTGGCACAGGGCCTGGCATACAGTAGACAATCCATTAATACCAGTGTGGGTGGCTCTGCCGGTGAGCTTCCAGGAGGGCAGAGTTTCCCTGTCCTATACCCTAGCATAGGACAAGAGCAAGGAGCTCGGTTGGAGCCAGCCTGCTGGCTTATGCCAGTAATCCCAGAGCTCAGGAGGCTGAGGCAGGAGGACCATTTTGAGTTGGAGGCCATCTGGGGTTACCTAGTGAGTACCAGGCCAGCTAGAGCTTCATAGCAAGATCCTGGCTCTAGATTAAACCAAAAGTTTCGGGGCTTTGGCGTGCAAATCTCCATATTTAAATGATATCTTTCAAAAAAGGTTCATTCAGAATGAGTTCTTGGGGTTTGATCCTACATATGCCTTGAGTGCACCTGTGAAATAACGCTGTGATGATGGCTTTGGTTGAAGGATTTGGTTTCAACTGTACAAGGCTTGAAAATGGACAGCCAGGGTCCAACTTTCTTCCTCCACCAAAATACTGAAAATTCAACCCCTGCTCCCAGCAAAATCTGTCACCCAGCAAAACCCAGTCCAACAGCAAAGCTCCAGAAGGCCTAGAGAGTTACCAGAAAGAAAGAAAGAAAAAACCTCCTGGTTTCTTCAACTAATAATGCCAGTGATTTCCCTGGTGTGTGTGTGTGTACATGCACTATTTATTCTCACGGAAAGTGTACCTTAAGATGGACAGATGGTGATTCTACATTTGGGGTGCCAAGAACTCAGCTTAACAAAGCTCTTTTCTTGCTGGCCTGGATAGCATCCCCAAAATCTGTTCCCTCAAAATCCCAGGTCATGAAGGCTCCGGGCACACCTTCCTGGAGCCCAAGGCACAGCTTTCACTCTAAGACAGTGGTTATCAGCCTGTGGGTTGCAACTCCAACAGGGGTCGATATCAAATATTTACATTATGATTCATAACAGTAGCAAAATTACAGTTATAATGTAGGATCAAAATAGCTTTATGGTTGAGGGGGTCAACACAACATGAGGAGTTACAGGGTCTCAGCGTTAGGAAGGTTGAGAACCACTGCTCTAAGAGGAGAGATGAGGCTAGCCCAGCCAGGTGAACCTCACATCAAGACAAATCCTAGGCCTTCCATTGGCCTGGGGACACCTTCTCAGCCACAAGAACACTTCCTCCTACCCATCCCTACATAGAAGGGGAGCACGTGACCTGGCTGAATGGCTTTGGCATACAGCCTAAGCACATGAAAGTAGTTTTTAAATGTCACCTCTTAGAAGCTCCCAGTGAACTCAGCCCATTAAAGAAAAGGATAAGAAGGCAGTGCTATTGGACAGGGAAGAACAATTAGGAGTTATTGCATTGTGACACAGCACCCCTACCAGGCTCTGAAGAACACAGGTTAGCCCTTCCCACGGAGTCTGGCCCCGGACTGAAGGACAGGCACACCTACGATCTGCCCTTCCATCCCCAGGGCTCTGAGCCACTCAGAACAGTGTCTAGACACCCTACAAGGAGCCTCAAAGAGTCATGCCTCAACGGTATTACCCAGGCTTTAGCACATAGACAAAATCATAGCCCCCTAAGGCAACACGTCAAAATTAGAACACATTTAAGGACAAACCTGAGAACCAGACAGCTCCCTCCAAAAGTTTCATGAATTTTTGTTTTAAACCCAGACGAACTATAACCTTTCCAATCAAGCACTCTCTAAGCTTTTAAAGGCTCCATTTCCCACAGGGGGGACAAATAGAAACGGTCCTTTTCACTTGTCCTGGGTTTAAATACATACACAGAGTCAGAATTCTGTCCTCCACCACTCCTAGCCCATTCACAACATCCCAGGTGTTGCCATGGAACCGGATCTGTAAATGTACTCCCAAGACCACAGGGTGCAAACCGGGTCCTCCAAGAGAGGGAAATTCCAGGTATCCTCTAACCAAGTATGAATAATGAAACTATTGCGCAAAGCCCATCTATTTACCAACTCGCCCAACTTCACGAAATCTAAGTTCTGGGGCCAGCAGACCAGCAGGCAGACAGCGACCAGTCTGGTACAGAAAGCTTCGAAGACTAGGAAAAGGCAGTTTGGGAATGCAAACCTAGAGGTGGGGAAGAGTCTTCAGTTCAAATGTAAATCTTTACCTGCAGGTCACCAAGATCCCAGGGTGAACCCCGAGTGCTGGAAGGTTGGTGCATGCGCCTGGGGGACTTTCCGGTGATTTAAACCTTTTATTACCGCCAGAAGGTTAGCTGTCACCGCGTTGGCCACTGAGCCAGGCAGGACTCCAGGAAGCAGTTCTTCAGCAAACAACCAACCCGAGAACCCAGGGTGCTGGCTGCGAGCTTTCCCAAGGGCTTAGCGAGTCGGCTCCTCCCCGATCGTACAGTCAGCCTCGGGGCCGGTAGGCGAAGGCTACGGCACGCCCACGTCCCCAACGCGCGGCTGCAGACAAAGCGCTGGGTCTCCAGCAGCCGGCTCCCCGCAGCTGTCACCGCGGCCCGGGACTGGGAGGGGACCCGGCAACACAGCTAGGAGATCCCAGCCCCGGGCCTTGGGGAGCCTTCTGCTTCCACTTCCCGGGGAACTCAGCGTCGCCAGCACCGGATCGCCCGGCACTGTCGCCTAAGGCCACTCTAGGATCTCTTACTTCAAAGACTTCCCTCTAGGAAAAGCTCTTGGCTTGTCCGCGTTTCTTCAGCCACAGCAGTCGGAGACAAACGGCGGAGAGGACGAAGAGGGGGCGCTGGGCGCGGGCCCGCTAGCAGGTGCGCAGCCACTGGCAGGTGCGCGCCTCTGGGGAGGGTCCTCTGTCGCCTACGCGCCTACCTGCGCTCGGCAGCCGGCGCCGCGCGCTTCCTGCTCTCGACTTCCTGGAGGACCGCCCTTTCACTTTCTCAGCCCCGCGGGCGCCGGCCAGAAACAGCTCCTCCCTCTCCCGCGCGCCCCCTGACCCCGGCCCCGCGCGCGCCCAGGGGCCCAGACAACCCAGGGATGCTCGGCTGGGTCATCCTTTAGTGGTTCCTGGGTCCCCACACCTGCCTGTCATGCCCTCCCAGGCCCCGCAGGGCGCTGGATTCTCATTGTCATGATGCCCAGCAGCCAACTGCGGGCTCCTAGGGGCTTTTTGTCCCCATAGCGGACCTTAATAATGCCAGCAAAAGGGACAAGTTCCGGGAGAAAGATTTGCTGGACTGAAGATGGCCTCTCTCGGCCTACCACATTTTGTCGAGTGCCAGAAACAAGAATACTGGTGTGCTACAAATGGAGCGGACTGGTACCTACCGCACCTGTGCCAGGTGCTAGTGTGGTTAGGGTCAGAAGGCCAGCATCCGGGTCATGTGCCCTAGCACATAGCTTCCTTTTTACCCTGGAGAATTACCTTTCAAACCCCTCACTTCCTGCCAAGAATTGACCCCGGAAGCCAGGAAGGCCTGATTATTTCCAAAGGGCACCTGCCTCATACCTCCCGCTGACAGCCTGGCCTGGCATCCAAGGCCAGCCTTCCACTCGATCAGGCCCCGCTCCCAGAACAAACAGCACCTGCCTGGAACGGCAAAACCAGGCTGGAACGACAAAACCAGGCAGGAACCCAACTTCCCAGGAACAGCCAAGCACCTGGGTAGAACCGTGCTTAAACCCAAACCAACCTGAATCCCCGCTGTGAAAGTCCAATGTGTAGGGACTCCCAGACCTCAGCCCCCTGCAGCGCCCTCTTCGGGCTGGCTGGTGTGCTGAAAGCAGCTTTACCCCTGGGACCCCTCGGTTTGCTGAGTTGGGTAGGGCCAAGCCATCCTCTACCTATGGGCTTTTGGGAAGAGTTCTGTACCCTCGAAGCTCATATGACTTACGGTTTGAGCCACCTGAACCTTGCTGTCCCGCATCTCACAAGGGAAGTGGCCCCGGGAACTCTGGCTGCTCTAGGGAACTCTTTCCTTGGGCTGGGTGTCTCCTCTCCTCTCCCTAAACTCTCCATCGTTTGTGAGCACCATGGCAGCTCAGGTGGGCTCCTACATCTTCTCAGGTTGTCTCTCCTCGCTTGTCTCCTCCGGGCTTCGACCATCGAGCTTGTGCAAGAGTCCCTTGCTCTTCTGGCCGTGTTCCGTCTTTGTAGCTGTGCCAGACTGGCCTCCTCAAGCAAAATCTGAGTTCCCCAGTTTGATTGACAGCCTTTTGAAGGTAGGCCCTTCACCACAACAAAGAATGCCACCTCCTGAGGAGGGGGAGACAGGGCCCCGAGGCCTTTGCACAGCTGAAGAACCTCAGGCCAAAGCTTCCAGAGAGTTTTTCAGTTCCCAAGATTGTGACTTTTCACACTGGGGTGTTGGGATTTGTCTCTCCTGAGTCCGGGTTCTTGAGTGAGCTTGGACTTTGGGAAATTTTGTCTCAAAATATGTAGCTGTATATTGGAGGTTCTGTATAAATTGCCCAAGTCCCCGTGACGCCAGTCTACCTCCGGTCCCTAGGGGGCGCAGGAGGGAGTTCTAGATCAGAAAGCCTCTCTAAGATTCAAGGCATGACCTTCATAGATGCTTTTTTTCTTCTTACAAACAAACAAACAAAAAATCTTTGCACAGATACTGGACTCAACCAGAGGGAGTCACAAACAAAAAATCTTTGCACAGATACTGGACTCAACCAGAGGGAGTCTGGTGGCCTATATAGAATATTTGCTGAAAATGTTAATCTTAGAAGAGTAAGTTAATGTTTCATATATATATATATATCTTTTGATATCATTATAAGAAACACCCAAATGTGTGAGGAGGGATGTGTGTGTGAAACTTCAGAATAAATCCTTCTGTATTTTGAAATGGAAATTGGATGGCAGGTTTATGCTTGAGGCTATGATAAAGGGTTGCATGTCCCCACCATGAAGTAAGACTGGTATGTGATCCAAGGTCCTCTTGCCTCGTTCTCCTGAATGCTGGAATTGCAGGTGTACCCCACTGTGACTGGTTCCCCCTGCTCCCTAAAACCCAGAGCCTTGCACATGGTAGGTGCATGCTATACCATGGAGCTACACCCCAGCCCAGGAGTCATTTTAACATCAAATGAAAGGAAACAGTAAAGAAAAGACAGAGAGGGAAGGAAATAAAGGATTTTGTGTTTTCCCTAGGCAGTGGCTTTTTAGTGACAACACTGTAGGCACTAATACTATTAGGGATGGAGTTAAGAGAGAAGTTTCTCAAGTGTCTTGAACTAGTTGGTACTCAACCATGTATCTGTCTGTCTATCTATCTATCTATCTATCTATCTATCTATCTATCTATCTGTCTATCATCTGTTTTCCCGAGATAGGGTTTCCTCTGTGTGTAACAGCCCCGACTGTCCTAGAACTCTCTTTGTAGCCTTGAACCCACAGAGATCCCAGGGTCAAAGGCATGTGCCACCATTCATGGATTCAACCATGCATTTATAAGAGTGACTTTGTTTCAGCACTTGGGAGGCAGAGGCAGACAGATCTCTTAGTGTTCGAGGCCAGACAGGTCTACAGAGCAAGTTCTAGGACAGCTAATGCTACCTAGAGAAATCCTGTCTCAAAACAAACAAACAAACAAACAAAAAGTGGCCTGTAGAAGACAGGCCTTCTAAGACCCCTTGGCAATGTCTTCCAGTAGAATATCTTTATTATTTTTTTCCTATCTGTAGGGTCACAGAGAGAGGGGGGTAGGGTTGGGGACCCTGGATCCTAAATGGAGCAGGGCTTGTATAGTCTGGAATCAGATCTGGGGGCCTGAATGTCACAACTCTTGGTGACATTCTCTGCAGCTGAGCTCTACTCCAGGGCTAGCCTGTAGCTGCATTTGTCTGCTGTAGATTTCCCTGCATTTCTAAGCGCATAGTCAGAAGGAGGCTAGACACATGGGGACAGAAAACTGACCCCTATGGAATCATTCCTGCCACAGGGCTGGTGCAGGTAAATGTGACTTCTTATAAGATGTCCCCAAAAGGATCAGTAACCTTCAACTGTGGTTTGGTAAGCCATGCGGCTCAAATCAAGAGGTTATGCTTTGACGGTTCCCTCTGGGCCTATATGTGATGATCTACACAGAGGGAGTCCTTTTTACTGCACACAATATGCTAATGCCTTGGTGGGGAAGTACAGTGACTCAGATCTTCTCTCTCAAACCCAAGTGGTCTCACTAGACATCCGGCCTAAGAGGAGTCTGGGAAAAGGAGGCTTTGGAGGAAGCTCTGTGCTCCACCTGCTAAAACTACCCTACTCCACAGTGGGTGGCTATTACTGGGTTCACTGCCACACAGCATCCTCTCAGTCACGGCCATCACAGGAGGGTTTGGGTCCTGGGCTCCTCTGGGCAATGGTTCCTTCCCACTTTGCTTATTGCTTCAACTTCTGCAACTGAAAGCCTTCCCTTTTTAGCCCTTTAACTGAAACCCTCTGTAAGAACAGACTTGCCTAACTCCATGACAAATGCTCTCTTTTTTACAAGAGTGGCTTTTACAAGGTCATCCTTTCTCAATATTGCGATTCCAACCTGTGGTGGCCCAGCAGAGGAGGCAGGGGATTTGGGATCTGAATGTCTTCAACTCAAACCTTGACTCCAAACTTCCTGGGACCCCGTGGAGGCCGCTTTATTCTGTGCTCATGGGACTGGTGTGGGGACGGAGGGAGGGAGGTGCTTTGAAGACACAGGTCTTACTTGTTCTCTTCATCTGTGAGTCCCCTAGCTCTGAGCTTGGCACACTCCAGAAGTTTCAGAAACCCTCGTTTCTATGGGAACAGTGAGTCAACTTTAAATGCTTGTGACCATCCTATGGACTGAGAAACGGGTCTGTGTGATGAGCCCAGGACACATGTGACTAACTGGGATGGCCGTGGGGGAGGGGAATTCCATAGTCTCGTTATCCCCTCATTTCGTTAAAATTTCCATAGAGTTTGAGCCTCCCTCCCACCACCACCTTCAATAAGTCCTGTTAAAGTTTGGTTCTTTGCACAGTTACCAAGATGCAGCGTTTCTCGGCCAGCCTTCTGAGACAAATGAATGAACTTCTGTCCGAGGGCTCACATCTATAATCCCAGCCATCAGGAAAGCCGACGCAGGAAAACTGCCATGAAATCGAGGTCAGCTTTGGAAACAATGTGGGACCTTGCCTCAAAAAAGAACCCCAGCCAATAAATCCAAACCCCACAAGGCCACTTTACATGGGGGTATGTCTACCCTGAGCCAGGCTAAGAACGCCAGCGCCCACCGTCACCCCACACACTCTCAGAATCACCGCTGTGCCCACACTAGCTCTCGCTATGTCACACTGGGAGCATTTTTTGTTTTGTTTTGTTTTACGAGACAGGGTTTCTCTGTATTGTTTTGGAGGCTGTCGGTCCAACCCGGCCTCGAACTCACAGAGATCTGCCTGCCTCTGCCTCCTGAGTGCTGGGATAAAAGGCGTGCGCCACCACCGCCCGGCTTCACTGGGAGCATTTTTAAGCCTCTGCCTTTCCCAGTTAGCTCTTTGCCTGTGCTCATGGATCAGATGTAAATTCTCAGCCCCTGCTCCAGTGCCATGCTCCCTGCCACGACGATCACGGACTCTAGCCCCACATTAAATGCTTGGTCACCTTTTAAATTATTATTTTTGCCATAGCAACAGAAACTATGAGATGCTCTCTTACCTATTAGACCAGCAGAGAAGAATAAAAAAATGACCTCTAGAGAGGCGTGAGTCACACTCCGTGGAAGGAGTGGGGATGGGCTTTGCCATCCCAGGGGCCAGTGTATTCATGGAATTTAGGACCTGAGACAGTCCATCTTCCTCGGCTTGACTGGGTTTGAAACCATCTAGGAGATTTGCCTCTGGGCTGTGCGGGTGTTTCCAGGCAGAATTAAATGAGAGAAGACCCAGCCTGAGTGTGGGTGGGTGGCATCACCCCATGGGCTGGGGTCCCAGACAGAATAAAGGGGGGAAAGGTCAGCTGAGCACTTCGCTGCAGACAGGTGACCCCAGCGCCTGGTGCTCCCAACTGCCAGCACCTGGTGCTCCCAACTGCCAGCACCTGGTGCTCCCAGTGCTTCCTGTTTTTTCTCTACAGTGGATTCCTCCTTTCCTAAACCATAAGCCCCAAACCCCTTCTTCCACCCAATTGCTTGGGTCAGGTGTTTCCTCACACAGTGAGAGAAGTAACTGACAAGCCTTACATATCCCTCGCCACTGGCCCCTCAACTCTCAGTTCTAGCAGACTGAATTCTAGAGCAAGAACTTGAGATGAGGACAAGACTCATGCATTCAGACACCCCGTGAACTCACACAGCAGCTCATCTACTGGGACAGTGGGCTCTAAGTGCCTACTGCATGGCTTTGCTGTATCATCGGCATACGTGAACATCTTGCAAGTTAAGTTTCCATTTAGCAGAATAATAGTAATGTTCACCCCTGGGGCCTGTGAGCTCTGTAACCATGGGTTCTTGGTCAGATTTATAGCACCAGGAATTCATTTCCTCCCGTGGAGTGCTAAAGCGGGCCTTAGCTCCAATCAGAAATCAGTTGATTACCTCCACACAGTCATGCCACTATTACATGCATGGGCATATCATGCCACACGGGGCATTACCGCAGCCCATAGGGTTCACAGCTGTAAGACTGCTGATGACGCTTCTCCCCAGCAACCTGTATAACACCTATGTCAGTATGAGGAAAGCTAGCTAGCAGGGAGGCGGCTTCCTGGTCAACACCAACTTGAATTCTCCCTGTCCTGTGACCAGTGACCATCTATCCCCTTGTCTATATCAAATAGTAAAGAAATACATGAACTCCAAGTCTGGTCCATGTATACATGTTACATTTCTATGAAAACACATTAAGTTTCTGTAGAAACTCTGGATCATTCTGATCCTGGGATCTTATTAAATCCTCATGACTTTCTGAAGGCTGGGGAGGGAAGTTATTCTGGGCACATAATAAACCAGTATCTTAGTTTGTTGCTTCCGTCTCTGGCCCTCTGTCAGACAACCTAATCTTTCCTTAGGCTCTCGAGGACACAGCCATATATATGCACCGCATGACTTTGCAACACCACCGTAGACCACAGGAAAGTTATTTATATGTGTGGAATCAGAACCAGGGCTGCGGGTGTGAGGCTCAGTAGAAGATAGCCTGAATTTTGTGTTCAGCAATACATACACACACACACACACACACACACACACACACACATACACACACACTCACACATACCCTCACACATACACACATACGTATACCCTCACACATACACATACTCTCACATACACTCACACACACATACAGACATACACTCTCACATATACACACTCATACACACTCACACATTTACACTCACACATACACACAAACACTCACACACTCACACAACATTCACGTGCATGCTCAATACACATTCACACATATACACTCACACACATACTCATACACATACACACACATACACTCACACATACACACACATACTCTTACATATACATATACTCACACACACTCACACATACACACTCACACTCACATACACTCTCACATATATACATACTCACACACACTCACACATATACACTCACACATACACACAAGCACTCACACACATTCACACACTCACTCACACATACACACTCTCATACGGGTGTGAATTACTGCAGAGATTGCCACGTGGATCTCTGATTTCTTCCTCAGTTCCTCTTATCGCCCCTCTAGAATTCGGCAGATACTCTGATGCAGTTAAGTAACTGAGCAAGCTCCAGGAAGATGAACCTGGAAACAAGACCACGAGCTGGGAAAAGGGAAAAGGAGACATCCACATGCTCCACATGCTTCACTCTGGTCTTTTCTGAAGGGCTGAGGCAGGTACAGCTTTGTCACAAAATATCTAAAAGTCTATTTGGCAAACTCGAGTTCATTTGTGCCTACATGCCAAGCACCTGCCACGTGGCATGTGGCCAAGCCTTTGCCTGTGTGGAATTCAAGGGTACCCGACATCTCCTGTCTCCACCCTGGCTGACTGTGGCCAAGCTATGTGTCCTGCTGGTTTTGGCATTATCCTACAATCTCGCTTCCTGGGTAGGGGAGGATTTGCATTTCTCTCTTGACAATTGTGCTTTAATGTCATTAAACCGTATGCCCCAGGGATGGGGTGGGGAGTGAGATTTGATTATGACTCTATTGTTTCCATATGCTTAACATTGCTCCCAATTTATCCAAACAGCTACAATGTGCATGTCCATGTTTTTCTAGAAACTTCAACTTCAGACCCTTGTGACAACGAGCATCCCAGACTAACCCCTGATTGTCACAGTTCCCTGCCCCAATGATCTTTGGCATAAAAGAAACCCAACTGAGAACAATGAAGGCATTCAAAGTTCTCCAGAGACCTCTTGACAAGCCCAAAGGTCCTCAGCCCACTGTTAGGGAGACAGCGGTTGGACTAGGGTGCAGCCCAGTGGGAGGGTGCTAACTTAGTATGTGTGAGGGCTTGGGTTCCACCTCATAGCACAAACAAACAAAATCCAAAGAAAATCAATGCGGTATTTTATTGTTGTTGTTGTTGCCTTTCGAGACAGGGTTTCTCTGTGTTAGCTTTGGAGCCTGTCCTGGAACTGGCTCTGTAGAATAGGCTGGCCTCGAACTCACAGAGATCCACCTGCCTCTGCCTCCTGGGTGCTGGGATTAAAGGCGTTCGCCATCAATGCCTGGCTCAATTCGTTGTTCTGAATGAGAAATGCCCCCCATGTCTTGGGCGTTTGAAGTTAGTGTTGCTGTTTTGGGAGGCTTAGGTGGTCACTGAAGGCAGCTTCGAGATGAAAAGCTCAGGGCACTTCCCGTCTGCTCTCTCTGCTTTGTGTTAGTGGTTCAAATGTGATTTCTCGGTTTCCTGCTCCTGCTGCCACACCTGCCACTTGTCACCAGAGTTCCCTGTCATACCGGACTCTTACCTTCTGGAACTGCCAGGCAAATACACTCTCCCTTCTCTAAGTTGCCTTGGTTGGGGTGTTTTATCAAGACAACAGAAAGGAACAAATACAGTCAGCAATAGCAACATAATTAATTAGTAATAGGTGTTAGCTATGCCAGGTTAGGTGGGCTCATTCTGAGTGTGTCTTCTAGGCTGGTGGCAGCCCAGGGGACAGTGACACCCTCTCCTAAACAGACTTCAGGGAGATCCCACCCTGGATTGGATTCCTGGCACAGGCCAAATGTGTGGTGCTATTAAGAACCACTTATTACAATAGAATTTCCTGTCACTACATCTTTAGCCAATTAGGCACAGCTATGCACATTGCTAGATTTACTAGACCACAACCATCATCAGAAAACAACTGTATACACTTCTATACTTAAGGCAGATCTGAATTGATTTTGCTGAAAAATCTGCTTTTTGTTTAAGCAATAGCATTTTCCTGACCTCCTGGGTTCTTAAGGCCTTTTTCTCCACAGGAGAGCCCAGAAGGGGCACATTCAGGCCTTGGTCAGTCACCATGGCAACCAACAGGCAGACACAGCCTCCTGTTGGGAAGTGGGCCTGAAAGGCTGTGGGAGATGCAGAGGTAGAGTCCTGGTAGGTGGCTTCATGGCTGGTTTCCTTGACAATCTCATCCGTGAAGACACAGTTCTCTCCCCAACACACACACACACACACACACACACACACACACACACACACACACACACACACACACACACACACACTCTCTCTGAGCTTTGTCAGTGGGGATGTTTCTCCTTCCTTCCCTCTTTCTTTTATTGGGGGAAGAGGAGCAGAGGGAGCCAGAGGACCCCGCCCCCATCATGTGGCAGGCCATCTGGGCATATTCTACTGGGGGAGGGCTGCACTTGTTATATTTCTGGCTAGGGATAATGACACGGCAAGGGCCCAATGGGCGCCCCCTACTGGTGCATGTTGGAAAATCTCTCCAGTGGCCTGATGAGAAAGATATCTTTCCTGTTCTTGCCTTCGTCCCTATCATTTCTGCCAATTACGTGGATAACTGCTATGCGTGCCGGAGTGAAATTTCTTTAAGTTGCCAGAAAGCTTCTTCAGGTAAAATAAAAGAGCACACTTTAGGGCTCTGTTGCACTACTGGTACCCGCTGCTCAGGAGTTGACAGAGTAGCCAATGCTTAAGTTACTTTCACCTGGTGTGTCGACGCCCAGCTTTTTCCTCACTGGAGAAACTGCTAACATGTGTTTATAAATCTTTTCATCTTTGGGACTAGGAAACTATAATTGCAGGGCCTTGTATGTGAATTGCTTGGGGCTTGTTTATTCATTCAGTGTAGTTCAGCCTTCTGGAGGAGAGACCCTGTCTGACGAAGGATCTGCAGTATGTGTTCTGGGCAGCTATGGGTGACCATGCTGGTTGATGGAGTTGAGCTCACTCTGCTTCGCAGCCTGCAGCACAGTGAGAGAGAGCCCTAGCATGAGAGGGGCCAGCGGTTGCTGTGAGAATCCTGGTGTGTCTTTATTGCTCTCGTCATCCAACTGTTACAACAAATATCACATTAACCAGGCATTGTCTCTCACCCCCTAAAAGCTTATTATCTCTTAGTCTACAGAGTGGGAAGCTGAGGCAGGGGGATCTCCTAAGGGTGCTCCAAAGTAAAACCAGCAATGGGAGTCCAGAGTCTAACGTAGCTTCAGTAATTAACATTTCCATCAATGATGATTACTTTACAATTCACTTTCTTCCCCTTTAGACCAAACTTTTAGATGAACTTACATTAATAGATAAGATGACTTTTATCATTGTTTAAAGTATTACATCCCCAAATCAACAAAGAGTGCCATAAAGTATTTTGAGTTAGTACAAATTATAATTCACAAAACCACATAAGAGGCTGAATACAGAAATGGACAATGGCCAGACCATATGTCAAAACAGAACACTGTACCAGGCATCACTAATCACAGAGCTTGGAGGATGGAAGCAGAAAGATGGGGAGTCCAACCACAGAGCAAGCCTTTGGTCAGCTTGATCACCCTGTCTCAAAAACAAATAAACTAACAACATCCACATTGACGAATCAGCTGCTGTCTCTAAGCCAGGCTTGGAGGATGCCACCTGCTCTCTCTCCCCAAACACAGGAAGCCAAACAATAACCAGTGTAACAACCAAAATGGTCAAGACTCGATTAATGGCAGGCGAAGTTGATCGTTTTTATCCCTACTTTAAACTAGGACCAACCAAGAAGGCCAAATACATATCCTGGCCAATGTGAAACCTCCTGCTTCAGGGGTCCAAGGCCAGAGCCTTCCCTTCTCTCCCCTGGGGCCATCCTACTCTGCTAACCTTGTTCTCTCTTGAAATGCAGGTGATGGCCACAGGCTCCCTTGCCTCAGAAGACTCAATTAAATAGCCTTTGCTTGTCCTAGCTGGAGTACTTTAAGTTTCTCACCAAAATCTCTATTCTGAAGTGAAACTGGAAGACTCACCTCCTACCCTATTTCTGTCTCACCAGGGATCTAGAGGCCTTCCTCGGACGGTCTTCTTGCTGTGTGTTCACGTGGTGAAAGATGCAAGGGCAGAGGACAAATGACGTGTCCTGTGCTTCAGGAAGCCCCCTGTGTAACAGCCTGGATGCCTCTGATAAGGGCTCATATGCTGAAGCCTGGTCACCGGTCTGCGGCATTAGCAGGGGGTGGAGGAACTTTTAAGATGATGGGCCTAATTGGAGGAAGTCAGATCACTGGGGCATGCCCTAAAAGGGGACTCCTGTGTCATGACTGGTTTCCTTGGCAACTCGTCCCCCCACACCCCATGACATGACACACAGATATAATGGAGAGGGCCTCGAGGGTTCGAATTTCTCCAGCACGTTCTATGTTGGGTAAGGACAGGCCATGCTCTGGATGGTGTCCTGGTGCCAGGGCTGGGACTCTCTCCCAATAAAGACTTATCTTTCAGTTCTAGTAACACGGACCCAAGGCTAATCCACATGTCCAGATTTCTTTATCTGTTCTGAGGGCAAATAGAATGCTGGGGAGGAGAAGAGGGGAGTCAGAGGAGATACTGTGATGCAGAGGGAGCAGGATGGGAAGTACATGCATGAGGTGAACAAGCCTTGGGGCAGCACACGGATGAATAGAAATGGGTTAATTTAAGTTGTAAGAGCTAGCTAAGAAAGAAAAAGAAAAACAAGCTGAAGCTATTGGCAGAGCATTTATAATTAATAGCAAGTCACTGTGTGGTTATTTGGGAACTGGGACAAAAAACTCTGCCTACAGTATGCCACAGACCAAGACACAACTCCTCAGTTGAGAGTCCTTCTTCCCGAGTATGTCAGCTTGGCAACTGGGATTGACCACAATGACCTGAATCACGAAGAGTGGATGCTAAGTGTCCTCGAATACTGCAACGGGTGAGCATAGGCTGCATCTGCAGAGATCGACACAGTGTGTACGTGTGTCTGTCAGTATGCTGCATACTAGCATTTTTACTCGTCAAGTAAATACCGAGAACTTCCCTCGAGCTTTACATTTTATCACACGCTTGCCACTACAATGGGTGGGCAATAATAAGAGCTGAGGGCCTTTCCCCAGTCTCCAGGCCCCTTTCCTTCCTCCAGAGTGTCTTTATCCTGAAGCTGACTGGAGAGACAGCCCCTTAGCCAATCTTTGAAGAAAGGGGCGCTGGTTGTGCTTCCCAGTAAGGGGAAGCAAGTATTCCAGGAAGTCAGCTGGGCTGACCCCCCCCCGGGTAGAAACCGGAAGTGGGGAACGGGAGGACTGGATAGTTTGATTTGTTTGCTTGGGGACACTCAGGGAGCCTGTGTGCATTTGGGTTTCTCAACCGAGGAAGCCGTGGGAGTGTTAGGAGGCTAGACACAAGGGCGGAAAGTCTGGCTTAGTCGGGGAGTAGGAAGGTCTAAGCATGGGAGTGGGAAGGGGATCCAGAGGGGCCCTGGGGGGTGGAATGTGGCACTGGAGGGTCACCTCTTTTCCCAAGAGAAGGAAAGGAAGGCCCAAGTAAATGAGTGGGCCTGTATGTGTGGCATGACAGGTTGGCATTTGAGCGGAAGCCAGAGGTACCGGAGGAGGCACCAGAGGAGGCACAGAGAAGGATGAATGTGGGTCACTTGCGAGTGAGAGCCCAGGCGTCACCCAAGTTGGGGTTGGTTGAGATGCTTAAACCCTGACCTGGGTCACTGTGCCAGAGTTCATTGCTCCAGCATGGACGTGTTGACAGAAAACAGAAAACACTTGAGTGTACACGTTTCTGGAGATCACAATTATCTCAGTGTAGAAGAACCTGGGAGGTTCTGCAGCATCCCCTGGGGGACGGACCCAAGGGACTGAGGCGGGCCCTAGAGTTGAAACTCGCCTATAGTCCTTCTGGGTCCGCTTTTTTAGGAGGCTCCTCGTGGCGTCCACAGACCAGATCACTGAGGACATTCCAGAGGCCAATGACAGTGTCCAGGTTAGATGCCAGATCTGTGCCAGTACTAAGTCGCCAAGGCCCCGCTCCTCCCTCTTCCCGGTCGGTGATTGGCAGAGATGCCCTTCCAGTTGCTAGGACACTATCCCAGTCCTTAGCTCCTCCCACACCTCTCGTTCCTCCCTTTCCCGCCACCCTTTTAGGCTGAGTGCCAAGCGGGCCGGGCAGCGTCTCCATGGCGACGCGGGACGCGGGTGGGGGTGGCTGGTACCTGCTTGATAGAGACGCTGTTACTCCGGAGATCCTGGCTGAGACCAGATCATGTCGGACTTGGGCTCCGAGGAGTTAGAGGAGGAAGGAGAGAACGATCTTGGGGTGAGAGCTCCTGGTCAGGGAGGGACTTCTGGGGTGTAACGCAGCTCCAGAGCGGGAGGCGTGGGGATCAGAAGGTCGAGAGGCCGGGGAGAGGACCACGCCGGCCACACCGGCCGCCGTGCGTCCAGGAAGTCGCTCTGAAAGGTGAAACGCCGTGACGTCTTGTTTCCACCCCCCCCTCCCCGCTCCCTTCCCGCCTCCCATTAAAGGCGAAGATTTCTAGGCAGAGGGCATGAGAAAAGGGATGGAGAGGGCTGCTTCCTGGCATCTCCTGCACAGTGCTGAGGTGTCCCGGGCTCTGAAGATTTCATCAAGTAGGTCTGGATCAGTTTCTCTGAACAGTCCTACCCCACTGGAATCCCTTTTCTAGCGTCTCTAGAGGGGAGGCAGGAGACTCACAGCCATCCATGTACTCCTACTTGAGTGCCTTGTGGGATGAAGGGCGTGGGCCACCACTGCCTGGCACAGCTAGTACCCTTAACCGCTGAGCCATCTCTCCAGTCCCAGGGTCAAAGAGTAAGTCCTTTGATGGGGAGTTTGCAAATAAGATTAGTGGAATATCCTTGTCTCCTTCCCCTCTGCGTCTCCTCCTCCTCTCCCTCATAGCAGAACTTCCCAGCAGGGCACAGAGCTCTGCAGACCACAGACTCTCGAAGAAGCCCCAATGAAGAAAGAGCCATCCTCTTAGGGTATTTACTCTTTAAGTCCTGAAGGATTGGAGAAAGAGGGAGTCGTCTGTGGAGGCTGGGGACGTGTTCCACCTTTTAAGTGTGTTCCTGTGATGACATAGTGCACCTGGCAGTTTCCGTTCATTGGTTCATGTTTGCAATGCCAGGTTTAGCATAATTAAACACTTGCACTAATTGTGAGACCTTGGACCAAGGCTCTGCCCATCGGGCTTGCTTACCCTCCTCCCCAGTGCAACGTGACAGGTGAATGCAGTGCTCAGGGCGGGAGGCTCCAGTGGTCCACTAGTTTTTAAATGCTTGGCTTGTGTTTGGTGCTATTGAACAGCAACCACATCAACTGGATTTCTTTTGCCCAGGAATATGAGGGGGAGCGAAATGAAATGGGAGAACGGCATGGACATGGGAAAGCGAGGTTGCCCAATGGAGACACGTACGAAGGAAACTATGAGTTTGGAAGGAGAAATGGCCAGGTCAGAGTCGGTGACCTAGGAAGCTGGTTTTCTCTATTAAATATTGTCTTAGTGCATGTCAGACTCAGGACTGATCTGACGTATGTCGTCGATGTGTTTCAGGGGGTCTACAAATTTAAGAATGGTGCCCGATACACTGGAGAATATGTTAAAAATAAAAAGCACGGTCAAGGTACCTTTATCTATCCGGATGGATCCAGATATGAAGGTAACATGCCATCACCACAAAGATGACTTTTGTTTTTGTTGTATAGGCTGTTTCTGTGGATACTAAAGTGTATAAGAAAGCTCAAAGTTCACTAGATCTACCACTCAACACAACTACCACCACCACCAGCACGTGTGTTCATAAAGGCTAGAGAGACTTTTAAGTAACTAAACATTTAACTATATAACTGGAGCCAGGGATTGGTGGCGCATGCCTTTAATCCCAGCACTCAGAAGGCAGAGACAGGTGGATCTCTGTGAGTTCGATACCAGCCTTGTCTACAAGAGCTAGTTCCAGGACAGTCTCCAAACCTTCATGGAGAAACCCTGTCACGAAACAAACAAACAACCTATATGACTGGTCTTGTGGCAGCACATGCCCTCCAGTAAGCCAGAGACTTAGAGTAAGTGAAAGAGGATTGATAGGTGAGCACAGACTCTGGGTGTGACCTAGACCCATGACAGCATATGGTATCCTCCCTCAGAAGCTCTGGGTGTGGCTTAGACCCATAACATCCTATGGTATCCTCCCTCTGAAGCTCTGGGTGTGGCCTAGACCCATGACAACCTATAACATCCTCCCTCTGAAGCTCTGGGTGTGGTCTAGACCCATGACAACCTATAACATCCTCCCTCTGGAACTCTGGGTGTGGCCTAGATCCACTGACAGCTCATGACATCCTCCCTCTGAAGCTCTGGGTGTGGCCTAGACCCATGACAGCCTATGGTGTCTTCCCTCTGAAACTGTCTTTGTTGTTTTCTGTTTTGGCCCATCTCTGATGGTCATGTTTCTTTACACCTTTTTATCTGGGCATTTTGCCTTACTATGATGTCTTTCTTCCCCTCAATCTCCAATTCTTTACATGCTAATATCATGCCTCAGAAAGACTTAGCTTATTTCTAAGACCCTCTGTACCACCCCTACCTGGTGGGTACAAGTCTAATCCCAGAGACAGCACCACGGGAGAAGACAGGAAATGGGCTGTGGTCCTTCAGAAAGCGTATGCTGATTTGTATGTCTGTTTTTTTCTCTGCTCTTGGTTCCTCTTGTCCCAGGAAAGGGTTTTCTAGTTTCCTTCTGATTTCCAAAAAGATCTGTGCCTTCAGCTTTGACTGTGGGGACAGTGTGACACTGCATGTCACCTCTCCCTGTCTCAGCCTTGACTGTGGGGACAGTAGGTGTGACACTGCAAGTCACCTCTCCCTGTCTCAGCTTTTTTATCTGCAGCATGCAGATGGAATAGATTGATGTGTGTGTAAGGCCTATAGACATTCCTGCCTCCAGGGAAGAGCTAGTTGGCAAGGACCATGATGTACTTTATGATGCAATTTGTGTGACAGTATTACCTTCTAATGAGGGTGACATATCCCAGCATCACCTTCTAATGAGGGTGACATATCCTTAAAATGTAAGCTGTGTCCCTACGACTAACACCGGAGATATTCATCTCCAAGGAAAGGAAGGCTTATTTTGACTTTCAGAGATTTAAAGATTGGGTTATTTTATATGTATGGGCGTTTTACAAGCATAGATAGTTTACCTGCACATATGCCGGTGAAATGTGTGCACAAATTGATCACAGAGGCCAGAAGAGGACATTAGAGCCTCTGGTACTGGAGTTATAGATGGCTGTGAACCACTGTGTGGGTACTGGGAACCGAATCGGGTCCTTTGCAAGAGCAGCAAGTGCTCTTAACCGCTAAACTGTCTCTCCAGCCTCTGATTTTAGTTCATAGACATGTGAGCCAGTGGCAAGGCAAAACATCATGATGGGAGTCTCCCATAGACCCAGCTGCT